ACAAGAACAAGAACAAGAACAAGAACAAGAACAAGAACAAGAACAAGAACAAGAACAAGAACAAGAACAAGAACAAGAACAAGAACAAGAACAAGCGTTAAACAAACTATCAATATCATTCATGTATGACCCAACCTAGGCAACACCTGCTCAATTTCTGCCCCATCAATGACCCGGCGGACATGAGCTTGCTCCAACTGTCTGGCCCGGTCTCGGCCCTGCTCCAGCCTCTCCACGCCTAACCGGATGCTCTCGACATGCACGCTGAGTGGGATCTCTCGATGGTGCTGGAGAACCTCGGCGCTGGCCACGCGCGTCCGCAACTCTTCCAGCTCCGCTCCCATAGCTTGCAACTTGAGGATTGTAGCCGACACATGTGCCCATGCGATCTTGCGATACTGTCCAACCTGTCGTAGCAGCGTCAGCTGCTTGTTGTACTTGCCCAGCTGCGCCCGGTTCCCGCCCAGCAATGTCCACAGGTGTCCGAGTATCTCGTCCTTGCCAGCCTGCGCGGCGACATTGTCATGCAGGGCTACCGAATGGATCACCTCCAGCCGGTCCTCAAGGTTCTGCAACACAAGAAGCAGCGCCTGTGCTTCCTCGATCAGCCGTTCAATCTCCTCGCCTACCACCCTCGTGTGCGCTATGTATTGCTCCAGCAACCGCGATTCGGTGAACGGGATAGGCTTGAACGGGGCAAGCAGTCGGTCTTGGATGAACGCCGGGACCAGCCCACGCGTCGACTGCTTGGTCGCCATGTCGTCCAGCACACGCTGTGTCCAGCGTGCTGTGCTAAGCACGATGTCCACGCCGCGTCCGACGTGCGAGTTGAACTTCTGGAGGTCGTAACTGGCGATACGCGCTGTTTCAATAAACCCGTCAAATTCAAGCACTAGTTCATTGCGTGAGGACAGTTGCGAGTACCGTACGATCTGCCTGAGGTCGCGGATCGAGGTCTCGGACCGTTTCATGTCGAGAGGCAGAGTGACGCCGGTGGCGGATTCAGAGAGGATCTCTTCAAAGTGGGATTGCGTCTTCATCAACGCGTCGAATTCGACAGGCGCAGACATCCCCGCCCCTAGAGAGGGAGTGTCGGGATTAGACACACCGTACTGGCAGATGGGCAGGTGGAGAAAAGATATGCCTGGGATTCGACAAATAGGCGATAACGCGGTGTAGATGGAAGCCGTGAGGAGATTTTGCACCAGCATTAATATGCCGGCGAATAGATACGCCGCTAGTAACCATGAGATAGGCCTCTTCAACGCCTTCAGAGTCTGACCGACAATGTCCAGAGTCCACTCGGCAGTATGGCCCAAAAATAGGACCAGCTGATGGGCTGCTTTGGATGCGACTGTGTCTTGTGAAGCTTCTTGCACCGAGGCCGTGGCTGACACCGTCGCTACTCGGTCATAGTGCTGCTGCTTTGGCGAAGTGACTCTGGAAGGGGTATCCGTATGGCCTTTGTGCTTGTTGACCAACCGGTCAATCACAGGCACGCTGGTCGTGGTGAAGGGTGATGGCATGATGAACTCCGGTTCGGGGGGCGCAGCTGCCCTCTTTCTCGAGGGCTTGGAGCGGCCAGCAGCAGGCGTTCGTCCAGACGGATTTGGCTTCTTCGGCTTGGTTCTTCTCGGGTCCTCGGCGGAAGAGTCCGAAGCGGCAGAATCGTCGTGCCTACTGAGGGTATCCTCACCCTGGTCATGGACCACCCAAGAACCATCCAGGTCGGCCTTTGAACCAGTAGCCATTGCAGGAGAGGACTATGCAAGATCTGACAGTGACGGTGACGGCAGTGATGAGATGACGCGGCTTAGAAGGTTGCGTTGACAGCAATGGATTCAGCCTTGTGTCATGGGGGATGTGTGTGGCAAAAGACAAAATGTCATCCTGTTACCGGTTAATGGAGGGGTTTCTTCAAGATGAATCTTGATACACTAGATGAGGCGACTCGTGAATGAACGGCATCGTCCTCATTGCAGGTGCAACAAGAGGCAATGTCAACAGGTCGCGTCGAGGGTTGGGATTCATCACGACTCTAAAGTGGCAGGTTCGAGTTGGTAGCAGACGCGACTTGCAACCAGTTGGGCATGCACCATCCGACGTCATTCATGTTTTAGTGCAGATCTATCTCGGACCAGTCTCTATGAGGTAGTCGACGCCCTACTAGTATTTTACTAGTATATCACTGCCGTCCAATACAGGCATTTAGCATCTAGCATGGATACCTAACCTACCACATACCCATCGCTCTCTCCCGTCTATCTCAGTGTCACCAGCTCTTCCGCACTCGTCTATTGATGGTTAGCTTGCACTGAGTACTTATGCCGGGATGGCCATGAATACTCACCGGGTGGATGGCGACACATGAATCGAAATCTTTCTTTGTCGCGCCCATTTTGACGGCAACGCTGTACGGATCAGCAAGTTGTTGCTACAGTTTCATCGATGGCTTGAGTTGACTTACCCGAAACCCTGCAGCATTTCATCACATCCCTTGCCCAAAATATGTAATCCAACAATCTTCTCATCTGGAAGGATGGTGACGAGCTTAAATTCGGTAGGTTCTTTCTTTTTCTCCTCGGGCGGGAATCTAGTTGAGCTGTCAGTTCCTACCATTGCCGGCCACCCGGACCAAAGGGCAAACATACACATCATAATACATGGCGGAAAATCTGGTGCGGTAGACCTTCACCTTGTCCTTGCCATATTTCTCAATGGCTTCGGGTTCTGTCAACCCGGTGGAGCCCACCTCGGGATGTGAAAACACCACGGATGGAATCTTGTCATATTCCAGATGAGAGTCCTTGAGTTCGGGAGGTCCAAAAAGGCGATTGCCCAGCTGCCGTCCAGCTGCTATGGCTACAGGGGTGAGCTCAGCCTAGCTAAGTGTCAGATCGAGATCGCACCACCAGCACGGAAGCACTTACTTGGCCTGTTACATCTCCGAGCGCGTAAACGCCTTCGACAGAGGTGTTCTGGTATTTGTCAACCGCAATGTGGCCGGATTTAGTGCGCTTGACAGGTATCTTGTCCACCCCAAGACCCCGAATCTCGGGACCTCGTCCGATGGCCCATAAGAGCTCGTTGGTGATCAACTCCGTCCCGTCATTCGATATGATCTTCAATTGTTTCTCTCTGGGATCGGATGCATCCGCAGCGGCTTGCACTGGTACCACCTCTTTAATGCCTGGATGATTACGGTGGACATGAACTCCCAAATCCTCGTAATGCTGGGTCATGGTCTCCTGGATCATGGGGTCGAATTTTCGAAGGAATGTGTTGTGTCGGATGAAAAGATGTGTCTCCACTCCAAGGGCATTCATGACCCCGGCGAGTTCCACAGCGATGTACCCTGCCCCTACAAACACCATCGTCTTCGGCAAGTGCTTGATGAGGAAAAACTCGTCCGAGGTAATGCCATACTCTGAGCCTGGAATATTCTCCGGCTTTGTAGGAAATGAGCCGGTCGCGATAGTGATATGTGGCGCAGTGACCCGGAATGGGTCGCCTCCGTGCTTAGGCGTGACTTCCAGCTCATGTTCGTTGACGAACGTGGCTGTACCGTGGATCAACTCGATTCCCTCTTTGGCCCAGTTGTTTTCGTACGCGCCGTTCAGCACTTTGATCCTGGCATCCCTCTTCTCGACAAAGCTCTTAAAGTCGAACGAATACCCATTGTCAAAATTGTAACCGTAGTGTTTTCCTGCCTTGATAGTCTCGTTGATGGAGGCAAAGTTCCATGTCATCTTCTTCGGCACGCATCTGACCCGGGTTAGCTTGGAACTGGACTGTGCCGGCTAGAGATCTTTACCCAACATTCACGCAGGTGCCGCCTGACACTCCGGCATCAATAATGCAAGTCTTCGCCCCATACCATCCACTGGCTCTTCTGGCAGTACCACTTCCGCCCGACCCTCCCCCAATGACTATGTAGTCATACTGCTTTGTGATGGGAGCCATTCTCGAGGACGCAGAGGAAAACTGTCTGGACAGACCAGCGAGTCTGGACACGGAGGAGGGAGGGGTGGAGGGGACGAGGCGCAAAGGTTCAATGGTGAAAGATAGGTTCGAAACCAGGGTAAAATTGCTGGAGCGACGGGTGCTCGCAGACTGCCTCAGAAAACGGCGGGAACAAAAGGACATGTCACGGAGGAGGAAAGGTGGCAGGGTGCAGCGGGCTTATTAAAGAACGTCGAGGCCAGCCAGAACACCATAGATGATTTGTACAGCAACAGTGATTCTCAGGCTTGATGATGTGATCTTTTCGAGGTCCAGAATCCCAATGCGCCAATGATATCATGCCTGCAGGGGTCGCCGGGGCTTGGACCATCGCTGCTTATACATCACCCACTATCCCAGAACCTAGGGCCCTAAGGCCTAAAAGTAGCCCGGAGCCCGGAGCCCTAGCAGGGTATCCGGCCCAAAGCAGGCACGCCCGCGGGTGCTACATACGGTAGGTACAGTGAATATCCAGACAGCCCGGAGGATCGAAGGAAATGGCATGTTTTATGCATTTGCAAGGCCGATGGAACCATAATCACAGTTTAGACTCCCTTTCTCTGATGTCTCCTTCTTTCTCGCCAATATCGACCTGCTGCCACCAAGGATACCAGTCTGGCGTGTCCTGCGGTACTTGACCCGTAAAGTTGACCGGTCTTTTTTGGAGGAAACTCTCCACCCCTTCCAAATTGTCCTTGCTGCCAAACAAACCATGGAGGATTCTTGAGTCGAGAAGATGTGTTCCCTCGGCACTATCGGGGCCCCTGTACATCAGCTCCCGCATCAGCTTTGTTGAGACTGTAGAGGTATTTTTTGCAATCTCATCGGCCAGTTCGAGCGCTCGAGTCAATGTAGCTTCTGGACTTGAACACGTCTCGGAGAACAGAGAACCAAACAGTGGATGGTCTGCCGGGTACACCGAACCCGTAGTGGTCAAGTGTAATGCTCGTGAGTGCCCGATTAACCGGGGGAGGAAGTAGGAAGAGCAGGCTTCCATGATGATTCCTCGTCTGCTGAACACGAAGCCGACTTTTGCCTTTGCGTATGCAACCCGTATACAAGCCGGCAAGCTCATGGTAATGCCCACCCCCACGGCTGCCCCTTGAATTGCAGCAATGGTTGGTTTGGAACAGTGATGTATTGCTAGAGACACTCTCCCGCCGCTATGATAGTCAGTCTGTGTGCGCGTCTCCGTTGCATTTTCTCTTACCCATCTCTATGATCAACATCGCGTTCCGTCTTGGGCCTCCTGATATGTCCATTTTCATCTTTTGCTCCCAAAAAGCCGATCTCCAGATCGGCTCCTGCACAGAAGCTTCTCCCTGCGCCGGTCAAGACGACCACTTTGACCCGGGGATCAATGTCCACGAGCTCGTACACTCGTTCGAGATTCTCTCGCATAAGATCTGTGAAAGCATTGTGTTTTTGTGGTCTATTCAAGGTAACCAAAATCACAGGTGTCACAGTCGGAGATGAAGCAGGCACATTCGAAACTTTGACATGTTCAAGTGGAAGCGAGGAATAGGACTCGGGCACTTTCAAGGGTGGTCGGGGTTCACGAGGCATCCTGATAGAGAACGATCGAGCATCGGCCTTTGCGAGACGTGAGAAGAAGAGAACGGAGGAGACTGTACAGACCGGTTAGCACGTTATTGAATATTAGTATCATCTAGTCCTTCAGACAAGTTCATGGCGACAAGCCGAGTTTAGAGAGTTCACCCTCGGCTTAAGCTGAGCCCGCGGTCTGTGAGTCGGGGTAAAGGAGGACCTGCGATGCTGCTGTGGGGCCAGCACGGTGAACGATGTGCGACGCGTCTGGCATGCTAATATTGAATGGCAAACAACGGAGCGAGGATGAATGTGGCATTCATCCATATTCGTGCGGTGAGGCGAGTCAAAATTTGAATCATGTAGCATGCTTTCACACATTGGGTATGCAGAGATGTAGCGATCCTCTTTCGACCTTATGAGAGCTATTCGGACAAATTCTGTAACAGGAATGCCTTCAGATGGGTAAATATGTGTCCCAGGCGTTGCTTCTCTTGCCATCACTATGCTAAACGGTGCCCATTCCATGGCGTAGTTGAAGGTAATGTTTAAATGTTGAAGAGAAGACGGACGGACGAGATCTAGTGGGTAGGACAATTCTGTAAATTCTGCTGGGAGTGTTAGCTAGCTACTGTACGGAGTACGATGCTCAGGTCTGGCTTTTGCTTTGGCAAAAATCAGTTGGGTGGACGTGGCCGAAGCGAATAGCTGTCTTGACCGCCAAATGAACTCACACTCATGTTGCTCTTCTCTCGTGGAATTGTAAAGCTGAGAGGAGGCAGAGATGGAATTTCGACAGTCAAGATGCTGTAACAAGCACGCAGTATCCGTACTTGCTCGATCATCAACTCGATCATCACACCTTGACAAGGTGACAGGCCAGCAAAATCTCGAACTGGGTGCCTGCGCTCTCCAGATAACACATAACCACTAACATAACCTGTCCGTCTTGAATCCAATCCATCAACTCATTCATTACACGATCAGCCCTCAGTCCTATTACTCTTCGAACCTAAAAGTCTCTTCTCCACAGCTTTGCTCAAGGCAAACCCGATGATGAAAAGATGAGAGCCAAAAAATACGCGGATAAGAGCCCCGAAGGACACTTAATGGCGATGTCCACCGCGCTGTGCAATGCAGGGACACCGCCATAGCGGACTCACTTCTTGAGCTGAGCCGCTCCCACAAGGTAAGTATGAAGAAAAGAAAAAGAAGAAGATCAGGCGAAGAAGAGCAGATATATATACCCTGAGAAGACCCCAAAACCGCCAAGACAAAACCGAGTGAGAATGGAAAGTCCGCCGAAAAAGCACGTGAGTCCGCGTATACTTGAGCACGGTCCACTCTAATTCACTTGCGACAGCCACATCACCCACATCAGCCACCTCCTGACTGCTCACACACACCGCACACGGGCACGAGGAAACTACTCTATACTCTACGGAGTACTCTATATGTGTCTGCCAGTGTGTACTCCGTACGCCGTAGAGTATGTGCGGTCTCTTCCTTGATGCACTCTATTGCTCTGCTGAATGCTTTGACATTGATACCTTGCCCGATCCTTGAGGCTGAAGTCATGCATTCTCGATATGACATGCTACCTTCTCCCTTCTCCCTTCCCCCTTCGGCCATGCTAGAGAAGTGTCTCTGTGTACCCCGTAGTGCTTTGCTTCTCAGTCGTCATTTTCCGTCATGTCATCTCGGCCAAGGATGCGACCAAACTCGGAAATATTGACAAACGCCATGGTTGGCTCACGCGCAGAAGGCTGCCTGGACTAGGTTGATTGAGCCTCTATCCATTTGATATCCCTCTACTCCGAGGTTCGTGTCTGGCGGGCAAAGTATCGGATCTAGGCGCGTAATGGTGGTTTCGGAAGCAGCGGGCACTGTCCGCAGTACCTATCAGCCTTGCGGACGTGCTCTAGTATGTTGTTTCCGCATCTTACCACAGGTGTTGCTCATTTCGTCGTCTCGGGGTCCCGCCGCATCAAATGTGACTGCTTTACTGCGATGGTCTATGGCGTCCTCCGCATGCTCCAAGGTACCGGCAGAATTCAATTCACCACGCTCTCCGAAAATTGCAGGGTATATTAATTACATTCACGAATTTCTCTCACAATATCGCAAAGACCCGAGTTCAAATCACTCTCATTCCGACGACTTTTCAAGCCAAACGAGCGAGACCTGCGAACCCGGTCTAACAACTACAACTTCGAGTCGAACCGAAAACCCTGCGAACCCGGGCTAACAACAAACCTTCCCTCCGAAACGGAAAAACCCTGCGAACCCGGGTTAAACTTCCCACAACCCCCATATCAAAGGGGTTTGTGGAAAAAGTTTTTGCTCCTTTTCTGTTTTGACCAGTGTTCGTAGGCTTGTGGTGGGTGAGGCAGAAAGACGAGACCAGTACGGCCAAGGGCGCTTCCCAAATCATAGATGTCAGATCCCCGCCAATAGTGAAGAAAAGCCCTAGGCAGTCCATCGGCATTAATGTCATCTAATGCGATCAGGCGTGGGAGTAGAGCTGCTCACCACTTATCATACTCGAGCTTTTGGTGCTTACACCGAGCTAGTGTCTCCAAACCTTGCCGCTGGGACGGTCAGACGCGCCCACGACTACTTATCTTACTATGCTTGATTACAACAATGTTGATTCCTCTCTTGTCCAAGTCTCCGTATAAGTCGACGGTTGATATGCAGCCAATCAGCGCACCACCAAACGGCAATCGGCCCGAAGCAGACGGTCACGTGAAACGAGATAAGGGTGATAGACAAGTCGCATGGCAGTCAGATAAGGCGCGGGGGGGGGGGAGATTTGACGACCTCGACATTGCAAATGATCAGTGAGATTTCCAGCGTCAGCCTCCTACTCAAGTCACTCCCTCCTCCTCGATTCTGGGACGCCACTAGTTAACCATGTCCGTATCTACAGGTACATGTACATCTCCGCCGCTGCCGACGTCCCCGGCACGAAAGAGACACATATCCGGCAAACGAACCAACTCATTGGGTTGGGCCAAGTCAGACTGCCACACATGCTCTAGCCTCCACCGGCACTGCGATAGGCGGAGACCCCGGTGTAGTGCCTGTCTGACGGATGGAGTGGTATGTGCAGGCTACGTGCAACAGTTGAACTGGGAGCGTGGGACGCTGCGCATGAAGAAATCGAGGTCTCGAACGTTGTTTGCAAGATCGGAACAAGAACAATCGGCCACAGTCACAGCCACAGCCACGGCCGAGGCTGTCCAAGTCGCCAGTGTCCAACTACCTCAACCATCCACATTCGTGTTCGTGAACCAGCACGAGTCGCAGAACCGGACCTCGAGGCGGAGGCCGAGACAGAGTTCCAAATCGAGCGAGTCGACGACGGCATCCCAAAAGAAACGCGGTTCGGTCAGCAGCAGCGGCGTTGCAACCAACCCAAGTCCTTCTTGGTCTTGGGATGCCAACTCACCCACGTCACCGCACCCATCGACACTCTCCCTGATCACCAACACTGCCGCCGACAATAGCACGCCGCCATCCGAATACGATGCGCCGAACTTTGGCCTTTCTCTTTCTCTCTCCCTCTCCATTTCCCCCCAAATCGGACGGCATCCCGGCGACTTCGAATATGCCTTATCCTTCTACCACTCCCACTTCTCCTACATCACACTTACGTACGCGGTACAGGTGAATCCATGGCAGGCGGTTCTTCCGCAGGTCCAGGACGACATCCCGTGTGTGCGCTACGCGGCAGTGGCCATATCGCAACGCCAACAAGCCCATCTATACAGCAAACCAGAAGGACTGTCGATCCTACGCCTCAAGGCCCGGGCCCTTTCAATGTTCGCAACCCACCTGACCGATCTCTCACTAGAGTCCGGGATTAGCACCTCGCTCCTCCTGATCGCACTCGATTACGCCGAGTCCGGGTTTTCCAACTGGACCATCCATCTGCGAGGGGCGTTCCGCATTCTAGAACACAACGGCGGCATCGGCATTGCTGAGTCTCGGCCGCATTTGAGAAGCCAGATCGCCATGCTCGTCTGGTACGACGTGACAGCGGCGCTGATCTCGCGTTGCGGACCCATCTTCCCACGACAATACCTGGAGGCATTGATGATGTGGCAATCCGAGTCTGAATGGAGTATTCTGGCCCTCAACGGCCTGCCCGATGGCATGTTCCTTGACATGCATGACCTCGCGGCCATGGCTGCACGGCCCGAAACGCTGTATACGGAACCGGAAGAGATTTCGGAGATTGTGACCAGGATCTCCAATGCCCCGATCAATGAGCGGGGCCACAGACAGCTTGCTCTGATGTCTAGGGCTTGGAAGGCCGGCCTATTGCTTTATGTGTCGCGTGTCTTTGGTTGCCCTCGCCCGCGCCCTCATCTTCCTCTAGTCTCGACACCCGAGGATGGCATGACGGGTACGGCTACGGCTACGGCGTCGAGGTTGAATCCACACAGTCTGGCGCTGGAGATCCTTGGGATAGCGGGAGAGATTCCACCACACAGCAACTTCCAGAAACAGTGCCTGATGCCGGTCATCCTGGCGGGCTGCGAGCTCACCGCCGCGGATGACTGGTATAGGGAATTTGTGGTTGACTATGCCGAGCGCTGGAAACGGAAGACGGGCATCTGGGTCTTTGACTCTGGTCTGAAATTCATGAGAGGAGTATGGGCGAGGGATGATGGTGACAGAGCTAGCAGGGGGAGGGTTAGTGTCAGACAGGAGAAGGATGATGTTAACGGTGACGTTGATATTGATGGTGAGGGTGATGTTGATGTTGATGTTGATGTTGATGTTGATGTTGATGTTGATGTTGATGTTGATGTTGATGTTGATACTGATGTTGATGGTGAGGGTGATGTTAGTGTCGATGTTGATGTCGATGTTGATACTACCGGTGGCACAGATGAGTGTATAGCTGTGCCTTGGACCGAGATCTTTCCGTCGGGTGTGGAGTACGGGTTTCTATTCGGATGAGACGAATGCAATATAACGAATGCAACATAATGCAATGCAATGCGATGCAATGTACTCCGTAAAGCAATGGACATGCGACCACATGCCCGATCACTAAGGTCCTACCAGGTAAAGTACTAGTAGTCGGTCAGACTACCTTACTACTCACTACTAAGGTAGCTAGGTTAGTAGGTACCTAGTCACGATTCCTGGGTACCTCACCTTACCTTACCTAGGTAGGTACCTATGTAGAGGACCGACAAAGGACCGACAAAGTACAGAGTATATACAATGTATCCGTACGTATTGTATTGTAATATCTCTCACTTCCAGACATGGAGGACGCACGGCATGGCACGGCACGGCATGGCATGTCACTTTAAGATTACAGTACCTAGGTACCAAGTGCTCCATACTCGTACTCCAGACTGGTGTTGATGCATACTAGTAGATTACAGACTGAAATGGAGTTATAATTGGCTGGCTGGCTGGATCGATGGCTGGATCGATGACAGATGACAGGTGACAAATACCCCTAGGTAACTACCTAGTATCTACCACTACCTACTAGGTATCTACCTAGACAGTTAGCTTGATACCGCGTCTTCTGGTAGTAGTACGAGTACGAGTAGTACCTAGTAGTTATCTACCTTACCTAGGTAGAGGTACTGTAGTCACTGAGGTACAGTATAGATACAGCACCCCATACCATACGGGCGATGATGCCGTTACCGTTGCCGGTATGGTTGCCGTTGCTTCAGGAGGGAGGTAGGTAGGTAATGGTAACGGTATAATCCTCCAGGTACCTCAGCTAAGGTAAGGTAGGGTCTGCAATAAGGACCTTGAGATAGCCCAAGAGCAAGGACAAGCAGGACAGGACAGGACAAGACAAGACAAGACAAGACAAGACAAGACAAGACAAGGATCGGAGTGCTCCCATCCACCATCCACCATCCACCATCTATCCAACGGATACATCATCGTGCTGTTGCTGTTGCTGCAGCTGCAGAAAGGACAAAAAGCCAAAATGGCGCTATGGCTAGGCTACGGCTCGGTGACGGGACGGTGATGATGATGAGGCGTTCAAGTCTACGGATACTAGATAGGCTGAGCAGTAGTAAGTCAAGGCGCATTAGGTTTGTCAAAAGGTCGAACAAGGTCGAACAAGGTCAAGGTCAAGCAAGACCAAGGTCAAAGATCAGAGATCAAGGCCTCGCGAGCTGCACTGCACTGGCACTACACTGGACTGCACTGCACTGCACCTCCATCTCCATCTCCATCCCATCCGGCCACCCACCGGGCAGAACAGGACTCGAACTGAGACATGCATATGTATGTATACACCATCTGGCATCTAGTGTCGACGCACACTACTGAATAGTACTACCTACCTACCTAGCCATCACTATCCGTACTCACCAACTACTTACTACTTACTAGGTACCTTACACACCACGCCATACAGTACACGCACACACACGTAGTCATACACGTAGACACACACGCACACCACACGCACACGCACACACACTTTCTCTATCTGGACATACATCCCGCAAGGACACGTTAGACGCACACCGACACTGACACCAACACCCACCAACACCACTTACGCAAGCTGTTCTGCAGTAGGCTAGTTAGCACAATCCGCAGTAAGCAACCTTAGTAAGGGACCAGGGTAACTAACTAGACTACTCGTAGGTAGGTAGGTAGGTAGGCAACGTCCCTGGGTAGCTATGTACCATGTACTGCATCTACGAGTAGGTACTGTACATAAGGTATCTATGTACCGTACAGTATAGCTAGGTAGCTAGATTTAGCTACAGTATCTAGCTATTTTTACTTCCCCACCAAACACCAACATCAACACCTCGACAACAAACCTTGTTCTTGGTTCTCGGTCTCAGTCTTGGTCTTGGTCTCAGTCTTGGTCTCCGTCCTTGGTCTCTTCTTGGTCTCATGCTTGTTTCATGCTTGTGCTTGTTCTTGTTCTTGATTCGATACGTCATTGACCGAGGCCAAGGTTGGTACGAGTACGTGAGATTCTGACTCTGACTCTGACATGTGGAACAAAACGCATGCATGCGAGTCCTCCGTACCGTACACAGAGGTTACATACCTACCTAAAAAAAACACCTTACTGCTTGGAAGTAATATTTGATGGGGAGGGTGGCTGGGGTCGAGAGAGAACGAAGAGAGCGCGCGGGGTAGGGTTACTGTAGGAAAGGCGATCATGATCATGATGGTCGAGAGACGGTAGAACCAGACAACCACTAAACACCCACCTCATCCACCTCAGCCAGCCACCAACATCACCACCACCACCATCAAGTAGTAAGTCTAGTCTTGGTGACAATCGTGTTCGAGGCTGGCTGAAAACGCGGGCTGAATGCTTGGAAGGAAGTCGATCCCCCCACTAGTGTAGACAGAGCATTTCAATAATCATCGTCACGATACTCCGTTGATGGTGATCGGTGATCATAATGGAAACGGACTGTGCAGTGTGCAGGTGTCAGAGTGTGTCAGTGCAGCCGGTGCATTCGGTTCAGTGTCAGGTCAGCTCGTGGTCACTGCCCGCATCTATACGAGCTTGACGTCGATCAAACACACCCAGTTCTGAGTTTACAGTAGTACAGTGGCACCTATACTTGCTGGCACTCGTAATGACTGACCACATTGAGGAAAATGGTAGCATTATATGTCGAAAATCTGATCGACCGCAAGACTGGAGCTATGGATGACATTTGGTCTGAGGTGTAATGATAACCTCTAGGGAAAAAAGGAAACAAGGAGCAAACTCCAATCCACCCGCTTGCCTCTCGAGACAACATGTGAACCCCAGTCATCCCCGACGCTCTAGAAATGCCCACAAACAACAAAGAACTGTGCCGGCAACGCTCCCATGACCCAACAGGTATGATTTTTCAAACAGGCAACCAAGAGAACAATTCGTCAAGGAAGAATTTCTATGTCCATCGACGGGATTCATTTATCCCACTTATATCGGCTCAGAGTCATCGTCGTCCGAGTCTTCCTAAATCGAAAGAGACTCGCGAATGAATTGACCGACACCCTTGGCCTAGTAGATCCGTTAGCTTCTGAAAGGTTCAATCTTGTCAAGAATGTCAACTTACCACAGGTGGCTTCATCATGGTGAAGTGGTTACCGACAACCGTAACCATCTTGCAAACATCGGCACCCAACAGCTTGTCCCAGCCGTTGGGTCCAAAGTCCGTCCGGTTTTCCAGGAGCCACTTCATGCTCTTGGGATCATCCGCCTGTGGCGGCGGTCTTGGATCACCAGGCTTGCCACAGACACCCTCGGTCGCCCAGATGAGCAGGGTTTCAGGTGCCTTGAAATCACGCGTCGACTTCAGTTCCGGACGGTAGGCAGTCAATGCTTTGATGCTGTACTCGAAGTGAGGCAACAACCAGTTGGGCGTCTTGCCCGTGCCGGTGCCCAACAGTCCGATTTCATCAAAGAAGTGATGCAGACGGGCCGGCAGAGGCTCGAGTCGGATGGGGCAGGGCGAATCAATCAGAATCAACTTCTCCACCGTGTAGTTCCTGTCGGGATACAGTTTGGCCAGGTCGGCGAGTTGCCGCGTGACTTCGTAGGCAACCACACCACCAGCGGACCAACCACCCAGGATGTAGGGGCCGTTAGGCTGGCGACGCATGACTTCTTCCAGGTACAGCTTGGAAACACCTTCGATGCCGCATGTGTAACTGGTCGGGTCCTTCATGAACGGGCAGTTGAGACCATAGACAGCCAAGTTCTTGCTGTCGATGGCGGGAATCGACACGTAAGAGGTGGCGGATCCAGACCCGTCAGGGAACAAGAACAGATTCTTGGTGGCTGTCTTGGGATTGCCCTGGAGCAAGACAGAAGTAGCTGGAGGCATTTGAACCACCACCTCGACCGGAGGCGCGGCAGGGGCAACCACAATGTTGGCCTTCACCTCGTGCTTCTGGGCGGGCGCTGGTGCTGGCTTCACCGTCTCGAGACCCAGCGCCTTTCGAAGGTGTGACAGAGTCGGGTTATCGGCGAGGATCGTCGGGTCGAGATCGATCTCATGGTCCTCACGGAGTTTGCCTAGCACGGTCAGGGCCATTAGAGAGTCCATGCCCAGATTGCTCAGATCAGTGGTGTCAGTGATTTCGACCAGATCCATCTCCATTTCTTGGGCAATGACCACACGAATGGTCTCGATCATGTCTTGTCCTTGACCAGAAGGGGGTTGGGCAACTGCTTCAACGGCGGCCGACTTGCCGTGTTCCTGAGACTTGGTGGGAAAGTCCTCATCAGGGGTGGTGATGCCTGACTCGACCGTGTCATCGTCGCTCTCCGATCCTGAGTCTGTGGATTCAACCGAGCTCGCATCGCCGGCAGGACCCGCCTCAGGGGCCGACATGCCGCCTAGATGCTTGCGAAGGGCCCCAACAGAGGCGTAGTCGGTGAACAGGGTGCTTTCGACTTCCAGGTCGAGATCTTCCCGGAATTTGCCCGAGATCGTCAGAGACATCAAGCTGTCGACACCCATGTCCGCCCATTGAATATCGTCATTGAGCTCCGACTGGTCGACATCGATCTCCCGGGCGATGATGTCGAATGCACGGCTGGCAATGCTGCCACTGGCTGGCTTGGGTGCTGCGGGTGCCTTGATCTTTGGAGCCTTGACCGGTTTCTTGGCCTTCGTCTTGGGAGCAGGCAATTCCACCGAAGCAGGAGCTGCAGCATATGTCGGGCTTGAGGCTTTCACCGCCGCAGCTGGCTTCGTGACAGCGGGACCTGCAGCCGCAACTTTCGCAGCCACTTTGGGCTTGGGCATCATGACATCCATCAGCTTGCGAGGGATGCACTGGAAGCGAACGCCGCCGGCAACACCAATGACTTCTTTGTTGGCGTTGAAGACATAAACGTCGCCCGATCTCATCTTGCTTCCAGCAACAGGTTGCATCTTCACATATGCAGAGTACGGCTTGTCGTGCTGTAGCGGCTCGACGAATCGAAGGCTGTTCCAGCCATGAGAGATGTAGCACTCAGCCTGGGGGTTGACTGTGGCGTTGACGGTGAAACCAGACAGATGGCAAGCGCTGTCGATAAAGTATGGGCTGAAGTAAAAGTCGCCATCGTTAGGACCAGCGCGCAATTTGATGTTGCTTGTCGCCTCAAACTCGGGCCCGTCGAAAACAACACTCTGCATTCCTTGGTAGATGTCAGAGTAATCGACCAGCGCGCCAAAGAGCTTGTAGGCCATTGCACGGCTGACTTTGTCGGCTTCACCATTCTCCATCTTGTGCTTCAACAGGTCAATCCTCGACTGGATGAGGTAAGAAGTCTTGTTCCACTCCTCCTTCCACGCAACCGAGTTTTCAAAGACAATGACGCACTTGGCATGGACAACATCTTTCTTTCCATTGTTGCTCGTCACGGTGAAATCGGCCTTTCCGGCCTCGAGATCAATTTTGGTTGACATTTTAACGATCTGGGACTCTGGCTCGTTGATGTTCTTGAGAAGGAGAGGCGCTGGGTTGTCCATGGTGCCAATATTGATGTCGACCTTCTCACCCGGCTGCAACAGGTCCACGCCGTAGTTGATCAAAGTGTAAGCCATGTCGGCGTACAGGGTCGATGGGCACAGACCGCTGCCGTTGACCAGGTGGCCTGCAATCACAGGGAACAACTTGGGGTGGGCAAAATCAGACTCTGCCACGATCGTGACAGTCTTGCCCTTGACCTCCTCCGAGACGATTCCCTGCACAGAAGTGGAGAGATATTTCCTTGCCTTCGCAGGTCCTGCCAGAGTAGTAGCGGACGGGGCTGGTGCAATTGTCTTGGGGTAGTCACCCTTGTACAGGAGCCAGTCTCCAGTATATTGAAGCCAGTAGTTCTTCTCCTCAAAGCCGTAGCAGGGCAAGTCGTTCAAAACACGAAGTGACTCATTCTCTTTGTGGAAAGCATTCCAGTCGAGGGCCTTTCCAGCGGTATAGAGACCCGCCATCGAGGAGGAGATGATCTTCCATGGATCTTCGTCACGACGCATGGTTGCCAAGGTTGGAGCAGAAAGGCAAGATTTGATCATGCTCGCGCAGAGAGGATGGCCGCCAACTTCGAGCCACAGAGAAGTATCACTGATGGTGGCAGTTGACATACCGGCAGACAGACCGCCGACAAAGTCAACCGTCTTTCGGCAGTGCCTGCTGAGATAGAACGCATCGAAAACACCGCCCACACTGACAACATCACTCAACAGAGGGGAGATCACGGGAACGCGTGGTGCGTGGTATTTGACCGAAGAGGCCAGCTTCTCGAAGTCTGCCAGAATGGGATCAACCTGGGATGAGTGGAAAGCGAATGGCAACTTGAGCTTGGTGCATTTCTGACCGGCATCAGCCAGCTTCTGGGCCACTGTGTCAATGTCGCCCATGGTGCCAGAAAGGACAGTGTCGGAAACGCCGTTGATGCAGGCGATTTCGATCTTGCCCTGGCTGTTGGCAACAACATCCTGTAACCCAGCGACTGGGGATCTCACCGCCAACATAGCATGAGTACCAGCCGTGCATTTCTGCTCCAGCAGTTGAGCTCGCATGCCGACCAAGTAGATGGTGTCTGCAACAGATAAAACACCTGCGGCTTGGAGAGCCGCGTACTCGCCCAGAGAGTGGCCGATGACGACGCTAGGAGTGATTCCCCAGGTGGCCCAGAGGCGAGTCAGAGCCATTTGGATGCAACACATTCCTAGCTGGACGACCGTGGGCGGTAGGTGCTGAACTTCAACAGATCCGTCGATAAGTGGCATGATGGACGGGAGACCCTGACGTAGAGCAATCTCATTGAACTGTTCAATATCGCCTCGGAACTGCTTCGAAGTCTCAAATAGTTTCTGGCCCATACCAGTGTATTGAGAGCCTTGTCCTGTAAAAGCCATTGCAATTTGAGGAGCAGCCAGAGGGATAGGGTTGTGGGTCTGCTCCTGAATCGCCTTCAATGATGCTTGTAGCTGAGAGACTGACTGGACCGGGAAAGCTGCTCGGTAACTGTAGTGTGATCGGCGAGCAGTCACAGTATACGCGAGATCTGCAAGGCCAACATTGGGGTTCGCACTCAGATACGCCTCGTACTTGGCCAAGGTCCTCTTAAAAGCGGACAAGGATTTGGCTGACACTGTCACAACTTGGGTTGATCGCGCGTCCGAAGTAGGCTCCTTGGGCACTTCGGGGCCGTCCTCCAGAAGCATTGCTGTGTTACCTCCAGCTGCACTAAAGTTGTTGATAAACACAATTCGCTTGCCACCAGCTGGACGCGGGAAGGGAGTTGTCTGGAAGGCGATGTTGACATTACGCTCTTTCAGGTCTGGGGCGAAAGTCTTGTTGATCTGTTTCTTGATCCCGGTGTGAGGCGGAATCTTGCTCTTCTGCAGCATGAGAAGAACCTTGATCAGGGCTGAAACACCCGACACAGCTTCACCGTGACCAATGTTGGACTTGACTGCCCCAATATACAGAGGTTGGTCAGGCCGCCTGCGCGGTTGTCGTGGTGCAAAGACAGAAGAGACGGACTCCATCTCGATGCCGTCACCCGCCTGGGTACCAGTCCCGTGCATTTCGACATAGTTGACATCATTGGAATGGACATTGCATTCTCTGAGCACCTTGTCAAACAAATAGACTTGGTTTTCTGCACATGGATGTGTGATCGAGACGGCCTCGGCGGAATGGTTTGTGCCAATTCCACGGATGACACCCAAGATTGGGTCACGGTCCGCAATCGCGTCATCCAAACGCTTCATGATGACGCTGCAGACACCATCGCCGCGGCAGTAGCCATCAGCGTCGTTGTCCCACGTCTTGCAAGAACCTGTTCTGGACAAGAAGTGGCCTCTGCTAAGACCGGAGAAAATGTCGGAGTTTGTAAGCACATTGGCGCCACCAGTGAACGCGGTGTCACATTCGTTCGCCCTGAGGGATGTGATGGCAACGTTCATGGCAGCAAAGCTGGAAGAGCACGCCGTGTCAACCGAGAAACTTGGTCCTGAGAACTTAAAAAAGTAGTTGATACGGCCGGGGCCGAAGGCGCGTACGCCACCCGAGATGAAGTATGTGTCAATATCTTGGGCGGCATTAACCTCACGCCAGTCATCGGAGGTCTGGCCGTAGAATGTACCAATTCTGTCGTGCTTGGTTGAGGGAGTCCTGCCGGGAACGATGCCAGCCATCTCCATGGCCTCATACCCAGTTGTCAGCATAAGTCGCTGCATCGGATCAGTCTGAGCAGCTTCTCTGGGTGACATGTTGAAGAATCTGGCGTCGAAGAGACCTGGCTTCTCAATGAAGTTGCCAAATGGGGTATGTGAGGTGTTCTTCTTCTTCGAAGTTGGATCGGTGTGAGAGTCCACGGGGAACCGGTCCGCAGGGACCGGTCGGTGAACGTCGAGACCCTTCTCCAGCAACTGCCAAAAAAGCTCACTGTCAGCGGCATCTGGGAAGCGACCCGCGTAGCCGACAATAGCAATGTCGGCTTCTCGTTTCGAGTTGCGAGTCCCTCCAGGGGCAACTTTGCTCCAACTGGATTGGTCTTCGAGCGAGACCTTCGGTGTAGAGGCTTTGAGGGCAGAAACCACGCTGCTTGCCAGGTTGGTTGGCCCGACGGCGAAGACCTTGGCCTCCGACGCCTTGCCCGATGCACAGTATTTTAGGACCTTGTCCCATCTGAGAGGCTCAATTATGATTTCTTTCAACGCGCCCTGAAGAAGCTCGAAGCCATTTTCGGCGGGAATCGGCTTGCCAGTCACACTTGAGCAGACCGGAAATCTGACGGTGCTGGAGCCAAAGATTGTCTTTGTTTGGGGTCGCAAGATCTTTTCTAGATCTGCCAGAGAGTGAAGGTGTGAGGCGTGATAAGGAGCGAAGATGGACACTGGGGCGTTCTTCTGCGTGCGAAAGAATTCCGACTCTTCGAAGAGGCCGGCCTTTGTCGATGGTGGACCGCTGATCGTGACCGAGGTTGCTGAAGACGCGCTGATCCACAACCTATTTGTCGGAGCTATACCCTTCTCTTTGTGGAAGGTATCTAGGGCCGCCTGAGCGGATTTCTCGTCCGCAGCGACAATGGTGGACCAGGACTGTGGTTGAGAATCACACTCGATTTGCTGTGCAACTCTTCCCACGTGGGCGCCCGCTCTGAAGGCGATCCGGACGGCTTCGACGGCCAAAGGAATGAGGGCCGTCAGGGAATCTGAGGAAGCGACCGCGGCCGCAGCAATTAGACCGGTGCATAGACCGACCAGTCGTGCATCTGCATTAAGCTGAATATATGAAGGTCTTCGCTCTTCGAAAGCGCTGTGAATGAGGTCAGGTCACAGTTCAGGAGAATTCAGGGGTAATTAGAGGCATACCCAATGAAATGAGTGAACTGTGAAATGCAAACGAGGGCGCTCTCAATCGCAGCGTCTCTGGTGTCCCCTTTGTAATAACGATCGACTAGGTCTTGGACGGTTGAAAAATTAGGGACTGCTTTGGAGGGATGGGATCTGTAGGTGTTTTCGACTCTGACGGCTTCACCAGCTCTCTCCAGGAAACTCTGGAGCAGGACATCGTCCTTCCGGGCGAAGACCTTGGTGAAGAACGCCCGGCAGTCAGCCGTTTGATCGCCGAAGACGTAGACCTCCTCCATATTGCTGGTGACAAGTCGACGACTTCAACGAGGGTTGCTTAACGAGAGAGGAAGCAGGTGGACGGGGTGGCCAGCTATCATATAGGAGTCGGGCCCAAAACGCACGCCAGGTGAAAATAGATTCAATGGCCCAGTAGTGAATGACAGCGCCCCTTGGTGGGTCGAGGGCATGCACGAGATCTGCGCTGGAAATCAGAGAGCATGGCGAGCATCCAAATCTGGAGAGGCTGTTCGGTCGAGTGTTGCGGTCATGTAAAGGCTCCACCGGCCGTCGCGATGGTCTCCTAACCCTGGTCAGCGCTTTTTCGGGGCCCGAATGCTACTAGTATGGTGGTAGCCCAAGGGGCTGATCCAGATGAGACATGGCCTAAGGGCAGGGTTGCTGGTAATCTTACCCGGTCGTACGCCGTCTGTGTCAGAAAGCGGACTCGGCTGCGCCCTCAGGCCAGCAACTTGTTGTTGTTCGCCAATAATGCAATAAGGCCGCTCGTACTGGTAGCTAGGATGCTTTTGCTAAAAGGTTACAGGACGCTCAGCCGCACACTGGGCCTGGCAGGATAATGATGGTTGTTTGGCTAGAAATGCTGGGGGCTGGACACAGCTCTTTGCAGAGGATAGGGTACTACGATCAGGTTTTGCTTGCTCAGGTTCCAAGGTGCTCTTGGCTGCGGCCGGCCCTGGGTAGTGCTTACCCAAAACTGCCTGTTGGTTGTGCATACACCACATAAGGTGACTTCGTTGAGCTCTGGCATCATTGGCTCCCATCGGGCCTGCACTCAATATGCAAGTCACTAGTACTGCCTGCCTTTTGTTGCTACAAGGATACCACACTGGCATAGCTACCTCTACAACCAAGGCCTGCCCAGGAGCAGTTTGCAGGCACTGCCGACCCGGGCCTTCCTCCCTCTCCATGCCATGCCATGCGATCCGAGGCAGCGTTGACCCAAAATCCACGGGATGCCGCTGTTCCATGCGAGCGGTGGCCGTCTAGCATTGAACACTGCATCGGGCTCGCGAGTCACACACACAGGCTCTCCCAGGTGATGGAAACCGCGCCATACCCCATCTGCAGTAATACGGACGTCCTACCGGATCCCTGTCGACGGGACCCCTGGGCCAATACGGATTGTAAAGACAAGACGGTTCAGCCGTGACAATACATCGAGACCCAGTTGGTACAGCCCCCTGTCCACCCGGGCTGAGGCTGAAGATAGTTGCTTGGGTGGCGGCAAGGAGATTGGAGGAGAGGTGCGCATACAGATCTGGGATCCGCATCACACGGTGATGACTGAATGCCAAATAGTAATCGGAACCCTTGTTTGGATTGTCTTTCAATCCCTTTGAGGTGATCCTGTTTATTGTTGGTGAATGCTGTGGGTTGAACTCCGTCAATGACATACATACCTGCGCTCCGGAGACTGCCAGCGGCACGGCTGAGGACAGGATCTCCGCGCCGAATACCATCCGGACTCGAGGAGCACAATGCTATGGAGCCAGCATTTCCCGCACAAGAGGGACAGGTTGGTGGCTGACAGGCCTCGTTCGGCGCCCTACACTGTGGCAACGGGGGCTTTGAGGTTGGTCATCACTTGTCTGGCTCCCTTAAAACCCGAAGCGGATCCCCAAGGATCCCTGGCAATTTCGCCGGCAGCATGGACTGCGGGCGGAGTTTGGGACAAATGAGCGGTCGCCAGTCTCCTGGATGATGCGTGACGATAGGGTGACGATCCATGGGCCTGAGTAAAACATGCTTCAGGCATCCTCCACCAAACCTCCGTTTAGCGTGCCCCCTGCTCCTATCGCCAGCCAGGGGCGGGCTGCTGGGCGACTCTATATTTGGGCTCAGGCCCTGAAACCATGCCGCTTCCGGCCCAGCGGTGATCCAAGCCTTCCCGCCAGCAATATCTCCATCCCCACCAACCCGCAACCAAAGAGACAGCAGCTGCTCGACCACAGAGTTCCATCCCGCCTTCCATCTGAGAGCACAGGACACAACAACAAGCGACACTGGCACCTGAACGCCTCGGTCGATGAATACGACTCCGCTGGTGCCGCTGTGCTTGCACCTGCGGAGTTTCATCGACCTTTTAGTGGCGCTCGTCACCGTGGCTGTGGCTGACGCCGTGGCCTCAATGCCGTCAGACTGGGCCACCGCTGTGCCAGTGGTGGAGGATGGCGGGAATGGTCGGCCAGGATCCCAAAATGCAAACTGCCGGACGGACCTTAGGGACAACAATAGCAAGCTTGGCAATGCCTTGATAATTTCTCCTGGACATGAATGCCACAGCAAAGGCAAGTTCCTGCAGGATAAGGGATTGCCAAGTTGAATCTGGTCAATTTACCTTGTGTCTACTCGAGCGTACTAGGTCCAACGCAGTGACAGCGAAGACGCAACCTGGCCACTTTCGCCCCAATCCGGGAAGATGGTCGAGCGCAGTTTGTCGCTTACTGTGTACTACCGCAGAGTAGTACGTTTCTTTCGGCTTGCTATAGCCGGACAAGCACCGTGGCACGGACGATAAGGCTTCGCATGGCATGGTCTCAGGAGGATCTAGAGCTGCTCCTTGGGCTGTGTCAAGGACGTCCTTGTGGAACCAAGGCCGTGCCAGGCCGCGCTAATCAATTAAAATCTCCTTGGACTTCGCGAGCGATTACTCCTCCTGATACTTAGGTACCTAGATAGTGATACTCTAATAACAGAAACGGGTACAGCTTGTTACAGAGACTGTGCACTCATGGAGCCAGCACTGAGAACGACCCAAATCCGCCTTACGGCTTGTGGGTCAAACACGCGCAGCAAGATGGGTACGGAAGACACATATCGCATCGCCTCGCCCAAATCCGAGTCCACGGACGCCTCACCCGACGATAGTCCTACGTACTGTTCTCCGTATCCGTACACATACGAGCAACAACTGCAGGTGTCCTTGTGTAATCGATAACGGATAGGGTACCTTATCCTCGTTTTGGACGCCTTCTAAACATAAACAGCCATAGCGAGGTGATCGGACCTCCTAAGCCTCCCTTTTTCTTTGTTCCGCCACAAGCCAGGCACTATTACATCTGCAACCAAGATATGATAGGAAGTTGGAACTTGAGAACAGCCCTGCGGGAACGCCACTGCCTGGTCCGGCTCATCTGAGGCCATTTGGGATGCCATGATTGGGGCCGGCCTTTGGATTTTGATTTTGATTTTATTTTGGGACCCTGACCTTGCTGACAAGGCCGATTGCGTCGATTGACCCCTTGAGTATGTGTACGGAGTATTGACTAATTGACTATTGATTAGGTACGGAGTAACATGCTGCCAGCAAGTGTACGGAGTACTGTACGCAATGTATGATCATGATCAGTAATGTCCAATTCGTCCAGCGCTGGCGGATGCCCGTCAGGCTTTCTCAGGCCTCCTCCGTAATTACTTCATACCGAGTAAGATGCTGCGCTCACCTACTGCCTTGGATAGTTACTAATAGCGATATCTGCTTAGATAGTGGACTCTGGCCTTAAGATGAAGGGTTGTTGCAGTTGTGTAAGAAGAGCCTCGAGCCTATCAATATACGGAGTGAGTACGGAGTACTGGTACCAGGGACCTGGTAGTCTGGGACTGCTACAGTGTGACAGGATTAATGGGTCGGCTCAGGCGTGTCAGGCCACACCCATGGGGCCCATGGGACCCTGAGACTCCCGAGACCTACCCATTGGCACCCCTAATAATTAGGTGCCTACTGCTACTTAGGTACTTTTATTAGGGGTACCCGCAGTACAGTAAAGGTACCTTATGGAGTACAGGACGAGCTGTTCGCCCCCACGTGACCATGAAAGTAGTATCACGTGACCGGTGAGATTGAGCAGGGCTTGGCATTGTTCGTATTCTGTTCCTATGTACCTACCATTCCTCGTATTCCTCACATGTTACTAGTACTGCAACTGCAACTGCTTCTTAGCGATGCATGTACCTGCAGATCGTGGAAGTGGGATCGAGGTCGAGACCGAGAATACACCAAATATGTCCTCAAGCTCTTTCCCAACGCGCAGAACTATCTAGTATCTTACAGTGAGTGAAGGAAGAGGTACTTAGTCATTCCTAGCAGTCATTCCTAGCAGTCATTCCTAGCAGTCATTCCTAGCAGTCTAGCAACCTCGACGAAGTCTCGAACCATGCGTGCCCGACCTCAACCAAGCCGGCCATCCTATGCTCTGGATGATGTCCACGCTGCCGTTTGCTGCTAACCGGGATTTCTTCACCCTGTCCACGGCCAGCGCGCTCTTGGCAGGGTCAGCGCATCGTCAATGGTCTCATGGTACCTGAATTCGGTCCCGACGTCGTCCGACACAAAGTCAGGTTGTTCATGCATCCTGAACCGGCCGCCACCGCGTCGAAGGCAAGGAAGATGACATCCACAATGCGCTGCGAGGTGATAACGTTGCCTGTGCACACCGCCGCGATAGGGCCCGGACTTCAGCAGCGAGTCCTTGGGGAGCTTGCCCTCCACGGGACAAATTGCGCCCTGGCTCAGCGAAATGTCTATGTTGCCCATACATCGTAGCGCGAAGATGATTCCCGAATGACAGGTAACGCCAGGCGCGTTCCAGTTCCAGTTTGTCTCGGGCTCTATGCCGTCAAAGTCGAAAACCGTGCCTTAGCAGTCCCGTCTCTCTTTGATGTTGGTGGTGACACTGGTCTCCTGCAACGATCTGCCCATTTGCTCGGCCACAGCCATGAACCGGATGCCCGAAGCTGGACAATTGGATGGGATCCACGGTCGTGGGGCCATAGAGATTGATTTTTTTCAGCTGGCGCCTACATCGATGACCAGTATATTTTACAAATTTGTGGCGCCGGATTGAGGGGGATCAGGATGATCTGGTCATCGTCCATGATCAATGCAAGACTGGCAATTTTCGACCCTGGTTGGAGAAGCTTCAGATCGTACAGCGGCGTGTTGTACCAGCCGGTGGACTTGAAGTAGACTCTCTCGATCAGGTCTGCTTCTGGGGCTGAGTATTTGCAAATCGGCCATGCTGTGACCGACCGAGCGAACACAATAATCGGCAACTCCGACACGCCGATTGGGAGGGATGAAGCCAAAAATGCAGACAGGATGGCACGGAGTCCTGAAAGGGCGGAGAATTCTATGAGACCAGACAACCATCGCTCTACATGAACTAACTCGCATCGACACCCAGTTTCGTCCAGATCCTCCAATCTGGTAATAAAGCCCACAATATACGATCCAGTAGCATCTCCGGAGTCAGGCACACATCGGCCGTGGACGAATAGGAATCACTTTTGACGACTGGCAACAGATCGGCGCTCAGTGATAAGGGTGAAGCCTATTTGCGACGCGATTTGGCCGGATACAGATGGAGGATATTGTAGGAACAGGCCCATCTCAAGCAAGCAAAAGCCCCGGGTCATGTGCACGCAAGGGTGAGAACCTTGGCCCAGACCAATGCAGACCAGAGTAGGTGACATTCGACAAGACAAAACAAGAGTCTAAACATTTGGCGCATCTTCCAGCTCTCTTATTTCTCAATCTCAATGTTTTGTAGGATCTCACCATGCAGGCTTACTGTATATTTCTGACAGCTTGATCTAGGGCCACTGCGACGTGAGCCACATTGCGGTCGTTCAATGCTGCGATAGATATTCTGCCTGTGACTGCCATGTGAATGTGGTGTTCATCTGGTCAAAGGTCAGCAACCACTGCGATTGCGATTGCGATTCTAGAAGGTCAGGGCCAAAACAGGCGGTACCGTTACCACTTACCTCGGAGATAGGTGATCTGACGGGCGTTCAGTCCGGTGTAGCCGAACATGCCGGATTGCTTGACAATGAAGCTCCAGTCACGGGGGGAGCGAAGGCGAACCAGTTCGTCGTACAGCTTTTCCCTCATAGCCCGGATCCGACCCGACATCAACTTCAGATCGGACCTCCATTGAGCTTGCAGCTCAGGACTCTGAAGCACGGTCGCGGCAATTCGTGCGCCGTACAGTGGTGGAGTGGAGATGGTGGCTCGCTGGACATTTGCAATGATTGAATTCATGGTGATGGCCAGTTCGGGCGTCTTGGTGACCAGGGCCACCAGGCCAACCCTTTCACCTGCAGAGGATGGACATGATGAGCAAGCCTGTCACTCCCCCAGTCAGATTCGGGGGAGGGCTCAATGTAGGCTCACCATAAAGGCCCATGTTCTTAGCAAAGGAAAGACAGACTGCGGCCTCCAAGTCCAGCTCGTCCACAATATATCGAATGAGCCATGCATCATCTTCCACCGAGCCAGAGTTGAAGCCAAGGTAGGCTGAATCGATGACGGGGAATAGTCGTTTTTCTCGAATCACCGACATGATCTCTTTCCATTCTTCCTTGGATGGGTCGCACCCGGTTGGATTGTGCGCACAAGCATGGAGAACGAGAACGGACATGGGCTCTGCTTCGCGCAGCGCCGCCACGTAACTTGCGTAATCAAATCCTCCATCTCGGTAGTAAGGTACCTCTTTGACCTCATAGCCCAGGCTTGTGAACAGAAGCTTGTGGTTTGGCCAAGTCGGGTCGGTGATGTAGACGGTTTTGGCGCTTGGGTTGGACCGTCGAAGAGCAAATCCGGTCAGATGAAGAGCTCCCGTTCCGGACAGAGATTGGCAAGACGCAATCTTGGATCATCAGCCTTGATGGTTGCATGTACGGATAGTTATACCCGGTCGCTGGGGTCGTCACACACATACCCTTTGCTCCGCCAGGGCTTTGCTGCCGCTGAATACAAGTTCGACTGCTTTCTCTCTGAAGGCGGTCAACCCGGTGATGGGGAGATATTCATGCCCTTGCTCCTCCTTCTCCTTCAGCATTTGTTTGGCCATCCGTACACACGGTAGCACCCATGGCTGCCCAAACTCATCGCGGTATGCCCCTTGGCCCAAATTGATCTTTTGCGCATCTGCGTCGGCCCAATAGTTCTTAGCCACTTCGAAGATCGAGTCCGGAGGGATATAGACCCCGTCCTCGAAGAACGAGAATGGCTGGTTTGATCCCATCGCCGAGTAAGGGTCGACCCAGCTCGCCACCTACTGTACACTTATGGTGATGTTGTTAAATGCATAATTACAATCTTGAGGGATGTACGGTGTACATACATATGTACAGTACACATCCCCGCGCTTCAAGGTGCCACAGTGGGATAAGGGGACCCCACCTGCGCCCTACTGTACTGTACATAGAGACCTAACGAAGTGTCCTCCGCACAGTTCAACAAACCCTCACACCTGATAGAGCAGCACCAGCCTTGTTGTACACAAACCGCACGGTGTGACGTGGTGATCCGTTGGCTAGCCCAGGGCCAAAGCCTACCGAGCTCTCAAGAAGCTGGCAAGCTGAGGGATGTCATCTTTTCTCGTGTGAGTATTTGCTGCTCTTATCCTGGCCCTATCTTAGTTGAGAGGACAAGGTCCCGGAAGACGCCGTTGGCGAGATCCTGTGTTTGGGAAGTGTGAAGGACAAGGTATACGTCGACTGTTTCACTATCCAACCAAACACTGCGAGCGAAAGCTGCAAGCGAATTCGCCCAGGCCGGTGGTTGTTTGGTAGCTGGTACGACCGGTCGAATGCCTCTTTCACGAGAATGAAACTCGGCAAGACCAACGTGATGACAGCTCTGGTATTTGGAGCAAGCCCTATAGCTGCCACCAGCAAGCTGATTTTCGTTACCACTGGACCGGAGGGTGCTGTCAAGCCCATTGCACCATATCTCGAAACAATAGACCACTCCATTTTTGCAATGGGCGAAGTCGAAAAATATCCAATCCTCTTAAGATTGCAGGATAAGCATCTGGTTCAACTGCTCAGCTGGATGTTCAGAAGCCAGGCTGGTGCTGACTTGATCGAAGTATGAACGTTTCCCTCATCTCTTTCATGGGGGTGATTTCAGAAGCGCACGGCTTTGCCGAGAAAAACAGGCCAAGGCAATCTAACTCGAGACAGTGATTGGCGACATGTTTCGACCTGTGTTGGAGTCATGCTTGAAACGACTGACGGATGGAGCTCTGCTCCGCCTAGTGGAAAGGCAGGATCTGATGTCAGCCTTGCCCTGAAAGATTCGCGCCATGCGTTGAGCTGCGACAGGGCAATAGGTATAAATATGGAGGCTGACGAGCTTCTTTAAGCATATGGAGGCATCTGTAACAGCCCCCGAAACCGGTGGTCGTGCCCTTGACTCGAGCAGTATGTATGGCACGGTTTGCAAGGAAACTGGGCCCCATTTTCGACGACAAAACGAAGTTAGTCGAGCTTATTCATGGAAGAAGACATATCCCGAAAATTGGAGGCTGGGCTTGACTTGACTTGCGCTTAGTATGTGGGTCGACGCGAAGTAAGAGCATCGCGAGTAATGCCATGAGCAGCTCCTGAAGACGTGGCAGTCCACGCCAGCCGTGCACAGACCTAACCTCAACGCTTGCCGCACATAGACCACTGTCAGCATTTAATTGCCTGTCGGCAACAGGGCCGCGCATAACGAAGGATGGACACAAGAAACGCGGCCTGGGGGGCTTCCTATACTCTTGAAGAGGCTTCATTTCGTGGACAGCAATGGAACCGTGGGTACGATTGCCCTTTCATGTCGTCAGCTTTTCCCGCGAGCTTGCGACGATGCCTCTTTTCTGATCGCACTGAAGAAACCAAGACAAGAGTTCCTTTCCAACTGAAAGAATGTCCCTTAGCAGAGTGTAGCCGGTTGAAACGACCATTTTGCACGTGACGTGTTCAGGGGAAGATCCATATCACGTCCGTCGCAGGATGCGCGGCCTCTGCATGAAGACGCTGTAAGAAACCGTTGACGACATACACTTTTATTCCTGTGCAACGGTAACAGACGGGGTTAAAGGTACAGGCCATAAACTCCACAGGGATTTGACTATGCACAGATGTGCGATCCCGAAGACATGGAACATTCCACAGCCATGTCGAAACTGTCTCATTGCCACTTCAACGAGAGAAGGGTATCCAACTCCTGGTAAGGCTCCGATGATGCAAACAGGGAGGACGGGCAACAGCAAGTCAGGATGCAAGTATTCATTCCCATTGCCGTGCCTTGATTTTACGCATTTCATCAACGCATTGAGTAAGGTCGTCAGCGATGGAGCACAAGCGGAGGTCTGCTGCAACGGCATTCGACGGACTGCATCTGCTCAAGTTTAGTCAAATGTCCGTCGAAAGAACAGCGCCGGACTTGTGGGTGGTGATCTGTAAGTATGCCTCTCTGCTCTGGAGCATTCAGGGGAATGCGAGCGGAGGTACGGAGTACTAGTATAGAAGCGAGCAGTGCACTCTCGCGTGATTAGCTAACGATCAATTTTCTTTGACTTGACCGGCAGGTGGATGCTGAGATCAACCCCAAAGTCTATCTTCCTTGGAAGCAGTGGGAAATGGACGTGGTGGACGCTACTGCGTACACCCGCATGGCTGTCAAGATTTCTGGGACCTGCAAACCGGGATGCTACCAACTCCCTTGCTGTGGCACACCGATATGTTTGGTCTTCAGCCATGGCGCTCGCAGGTTGCCATATTCTGGGTTGTGTGACAGACTGATCCTTGCCGGCCGTATGGCATGGCTCGGGATTGTGCTTCATATTCCGTACTCGCACATCGTAAAATCTTCAGGACAGGTTTACGATGGATTGAGGGATCGTGCAGGTTGAAAGGGGTATGGTGCCATCGGGCCTGGAGAGGACAGAGGCGTGCAGGAGCCGGGATGTTCTTGTGCCGATGCTTAAGATAGTAGTATCGGACAGCCACAGCGACACTAAAGCCGGAGTCAGAGGGCCAGAGGAGAGTCGTGAATTCACGGCGTGATGCCAGTGGGCGTCAAGGGTGCGTGGTGGAGGAAGATGGTCGCTTGGCGGGGAGGCGCAGGCAGATCAGGCACCGGAAAAGGGGACAGAAGGGGGCTGTAAGAGCTTCATTTGGGATACATACTTGCTCCTTGCTGCTGTTTCAGGTGCCGAGTGTTAGATGCAGGTGCTGCGCGTGAGAGTGATACAGCCAGTCTGAGTGAGTACTGAGCAGTAAGCAGTGCCTTGCTGTGCCAGCGAGAACCTAATCAAGTAGCAGACACGGATATGTGGTGGGCGCAATGATCAGGATCGGACTAGGATGCCAGTATTAGCCATAGCCTTAGCCTCCTTCAATTATAATTAACACACGCGAGACCTTCGCCGACGCGGGAGCTAGTCGCATACTAAGTCCCAGTCCCTGTAATAATGTTCCGGGGCTTTGCAGGTTCCGCCTCTGCTGGACGCGAAGGGGTTTGTCTCTACCACCACTGACCAGCATACAAAGGCCCCCGGGCCTTCCAAGAAAGACGAATCCGTGGCTCCCTTCTGTCAGGCCCGTATCCTCCCTGTCGCACCAGCTCATCCTGCTCTTTTCACGTCTGCGGCAACCTGACGTTGTCGCTTCCTCGTATTAAGCTGTCTCGTAGCCACTTACTACACTGACACTCGTCCACGCCTACACCTACGCCTACGCCTACCTCCGCTCCTTTGACTTCCTCCAGACACCCGGCCTTGCACCAACATCAAGTCCCTGTCTCACCACCTTGTTGGCTGTGAAGCATCTAACAAAATGCCCAAGCTGCAGAAACAGCAGCCGCCGGCCTATTCAGGCAAAGCCAACACGTCGACGCCTCTGCAGACCACGGTACCATACGAGCGCCTGCCAGTGTCCGCGCAGCAGCCCGTGCTTGTCACCAGCGCCGTGAAACCCAGTTCCTACCATGACCTCCCGTCTACCAACCCATTCTCCTCGAATTATGTCCCTCCAGCAGACTCGTCGCCTGCTCAGTCCAACCCCTTCTCACCCGTATCTCCTTTAGTTGAATCGAGGCCCGCTGAACGACTTTCGCAGCCAGAAACAGACGCACCCCAGCCCCAGAGAACTGATCCGGCTCCGAGGAGATCAGTTGGGCTCCGGCGGCTGGATGGAAAGCCGTATCCTGGCCCACAATCGACAGACAAACCTGGAAAGCCAGTCAAGGTAGCAAAGGACATGTTTGACGGCGCACTACCACCCGTGTACAAGCGTGAAGCATCCGATCCGATCAACCCTACCGAGGTCGCACAGATCCTCACATCCACCTCGCATGCCTGTACAAAGTGTGGAAGGAACCGCGGTGAAGCGCATGCGGGCCAGGATAACAACTGCACGCAATGTGGGAAACGCAAGGCTAGCGTACCACCTGCTACTTCAGCGCCAACTCCTGCTACCGTACATGGACGCACAACATCTGAGGGAACTGTGTCTCACCGATCCAGACTTTCAGAGAGCACGGCAGGTCCCTCGAATTCGCCAGGCTCGACACATGCAAAATACTGCGCTAAATGTGGCAAATATAAACGACCACCGCCAGAGGCAGTGGAACAGTCTTCGATCCAGGAATCCAGCACCAGAAGCGGTCCTATTCGGGCTCCAATTCCGGCTGCCAACCACCCAGCCGTCAGGATGCACCAGGCTGGGCTATCGATTCAACCGAATATGGCCCCCGCCTCCAATCATGTGTACCCTCAAATCGATGTCATTCCACCTTCAGCGTCCACCTACAGGCCGGTTAACTCTCCCTTTGCAAATTACGGAGATGATTCTCCTTTGGTGGAGAAAGCCACAAAGCAGGAATTCAAACTGTTCCGCAATTCATCCCTTGCACGGTCGTTGTCTCGCCGTCTGAGTAGAAAGGACAAGTCGGCCTCTGCGCCTCTTCCCAGCCAGCAACTAGCCGGCGGTGAAAATCCGTCTGGTGAGCAAAGTGCCGGAAGACTGATCAACATGATCAGCAGCGCGATGCAGGGAACTCCGAATGATCAGGATGCTCAATACGCGAGACTCGATGCGGGCGAGCAGCCGGATCGCCCAGCAACACCTTTCTCATTTGTCGGCGGGAAAGATGAGCAAGACGCGTTCGAGATGACAGACATTCGTGAGCGAAACTCATTTTCAGACCGGGGCAGCCTCAAGGAGGTCTTGGAAGTGGACACCTCAGCCTCCCGTCCCGAGCACGACCCTTCTACAATTCCGCAAGACACCATTGATGTCTTGCCCAGGTCGAAGTCTGCAGTGCAGCACAGCCAACATCTGTCCGTGGGAGACACGGAGCAGAAGCCACAAATCACGAGGTTCAAGAGCTTGCGGAGCGGCGTTTCCAGGATGAACAGCACTGTGAGCAGATCTACTAGCCTGAAGAGATTGGGCAGCTTGAAGACGGTTCATCACAACTGGTACAGAAATGATATGGCGATTGAGGGCGCAACGGCTGACCATGCTGTTCCTGCGTTCTGAGAGCCTAAGGCGATTCTTTTGACAGCATGCGCGCACGATTACGATCTGTTGATGATACCATATGGGGGTTTTCGAGTTTTCGATAGGTTAATGCAACATTTCTTGATGTTAACTTGTAATCTCTTGAACACTGCCCGCCATTTAATTGCATTGAGAATGTGAAAAGGCTGATATAGCGTACTATTACCTTTGTATCCGTACATTGTATGATACAGCACCGCCAAGCCCCGGCAAGGCTGTTGTTTCGCTGAACTCAACGCCGCTGGAGGTGATGTCAGATGTTAGTGCTGGCCCGAGACCTGTTTCGACCGTCCAACAGCACCACCACCACCAATACTACCACAGTCATAGCCTAGTCCCGTGGGCGCGTTGAATGTGAAAGACGACAACCTCGATCCTCAGACGGCCCAGCTCTGCCAGGTCATCTATTTCCTTTCCGCCGCCCTGTGAAAGCGACAAACTTTCAACCTCCTACCTCCCAGCACATTTAGGCAACACCCGTTCACCATCAATCTGGCAACGTTCGCACTACAACACGCTCTTCGACGGCTGGAAGAAGAGCGACGAATACGGTCTGGGAACATGGGGGACATACAATTTGCGAAACAGATTCTGTCGTCGTTAGACAACAAACCGAACAAATATCCGGCGGACCATGTCTTCGATCCCAAAACCTTCCAACTGCGAATACCCGTGAGTGCTTTCCAAGCCCTGTGGACCATGCCACGGTAGAGAGCATGCTCTGACATTCACGCAGTACACACTTCCCAAGCTTTCAAGCCCGCCGCACCCTCAGCCGCCCAAGACAACAGCTTCGACGGTTCCACCAGGCTCAGAATCCGCGGCTCCCACCATCACCGTCACGTTGAAATCTGCACGAAATCCCAACATGACTCTGGTGGTCCCATCGGTAGACCCCGGCACCACGACGATCCAAGCACTAAAGGAACAGGTACAATCATACTTGGGCGGTCCCACGGTTGTACACCTGGACAAGATCAAGGTGCTGTTGGACAAGAAGCCGATACCGCCGTCGAAGAAGACGGTGGCCGAGGCATTGCAGCAAAAGGCCCCGGAGGGAGAGGTAGAGCTTGGTGTCATGGTCATGGGTGGTGCCCCTGATCCGCCGCCACAAGTACAAGTTGCCGCGCCTGCTGCGCAGATATCCACGACACCTTCTTTGGAGCAGCCTGCAGTTGAATCAGAGCAGACGAAGCCTGTGCCGGTAGAGGGTGCTGAACCAGTTTCAGGGTCTCCACCTGCTGCTGTTCAGCCAGGCGAGGCTAGTGGACAGGATGTGGTAAAAACCGCCGAGTTCTGGGCCGATTTGCAAGGGTTCCTGGAGCAGAGGATACGTGACCAGGCCGAGGCGGGCAGATTGAGGGGCCTGTTTGAACGAGCGTGGACGAGTGCAGACTCAAGCCCATGAATAATGAGTCCTCGCAAGCACTGGAGGGGAACTGGGTCAGAGACTGCCCCATATATACACGGGACCAGCATGAATGAATCTTATTCAGCGTCTGGGTACGGGCACGTGGAATGTGAGTTCAAAGCACTGCAGCATTGATCGTTCAATAGCGGATTCGGGCAATGTTGTTATATCATGGAAAGCGAATACGAAAGCCTGGTCCTGTATGATTCAGATCCAGGCTATGACACCCATCTCAAGCTTCGGAAGCCTCTCGTTATCTTTTCCTCCTTTTCGTGTAATTCAAGCAGCGCATCAAGTCTTCTTTTCCGTCGTGAACGAGATTTTCCCTCCTTTCACAGTGGACACAACCCCCAACTTCCATGCGCGGAGGAGTTGGATAGGGGAACGAGCGAATGTATGAATTCAAGAGTGTGTTAACACATACCCTACATGCCCGGATGTACGGAGGACTACTCACATATCCTCCAACACGATTAGTTGTTTGTGGTGGACCTGGCTGACATGCATCCCGCAGCTCTAAGATGTAGTCGACTCTAGCCCGGACACTCGACACTCGACACTCGACTCTCGACACTCGACTCTCGACTCTCGCGTACTGGACAGGACCATCTTATCTCGTCTTTCCTGGTACCCAAATCGGCCGGCCAGCACCGTTCGATGCACCGGGATCCTTGGGTATGCAGTTCGTCCTGTGCTGGCTGATCTGAGGGTGAAACCGTCAACTCCTTTGCGCAAGGGAGGCCAGCTCGATGATGCGATGATGCGATGATAACTCGCGGAAGGCTCACGCCCCCTGCCAAACCGTTTGCACAGAAATCAGCCATTCTTCGTTCTTCGAGGATGGGGTCTATATCCCTCCGGACTCGATCTTCGCCTGAGCACTCGCCCTCACACCAAGCTCAAGGTAATCGAATCACAGGAGGCGAACCAATCGGGGCCCTCGGCATATCCTACACCAATTCTCTTGTAGCAGGCTTGATGCACCTCCTCCAGAGCAAGGAAGCAGGACGAGTAGGTTCCATCGGGCTCCTTGCGCCTATCGACCAGAAGACAGGGAAACTCGATTGGGAGAAAGACGGGGTCGCCTTCCACCATCTCATTCACATTCTCGTTGTCGAAGACGATCTCGCCTTTGCCGTGGAGGAAGTATCCCAGTCGAACCGAGCCTGCCCAACGCGTGGCTGGCTTCTCGAGGGTGCGCCTGGCCCGCTGGACTTTGCCACGCACTCGGAGGACGGCGGTGGTGACTTCGCCGCACGCATTCTCCGCTTGCTTGAGCGACATGTCGGCGCTCAAGACCTGCAGCTGTTCCAGCGCAGTGTCGGCCGACGACATTGTCACCATGTCGGCGTATCCGGCGTAGTGGACCGCTCCGTCGATCGATGCCCACGACCACGACGGAGCCCGGTACTCGGCCGCACTGTGACCGGTGTCGCGGACGCCCAGGCCACGGCCACTGCCACTGTCACTGCCACTGCCACTGCCGGCGGTCTGAATGGTCCAGAGCAGGCCGAGAGGCAGTTCCTCTCGCCACAGTCCCGCCAGGTACGTGGCGCCGGTGCGCTGGCGGAATTGGTTGGCCAGCCCGGCCAATGCAGGCAGTTTGTCGCTCGGGGCAAACAGCTTCCGCTGGGCGTAGTTCTCAACCACCCATTGCCACCGCGTCAGCATCCAGTCCCACGTCGGATTCGGATTCGGATTCGAACTCGACCTCGCCGTCGCCGGCGCGGCCAGGAAATTCTTGTCCGAGCCCTCTTTCGTCGAGTCCAGGCCGTCTTCGGCAAGGTAGCATTGCTGACACTCCCAGTAGACTTGTTCTCGGGTGAAATGGACGGTCCGTCTCGACAGGTGCTGTTCTTGCAGGGTCCATGCCCTATTCGCGAGAGGCGAGCCGTCAATCACATCTCGGATCACGCCTGCTCGCGGACTGAAGAACATGGTGCCGACATTCGAGCTGTTGGAGCAGCCAGAAGTCACCGCCACGCCCTGGTGTCGTCTCCTCCCATGCACCAAGCCGTCCCATTTATCTCGACATGCCGACGCGGCGATGGTGAGCGTAGCCAGGCCGTAGATCTGGTCCATGCACGCGCTCTCCCGCGCCCAGTCCCTCGCGTCATCCTGTATGATGCACAGGGCATCCACCCAGATATAGCGATACCCAAGAAGCCGCGTGAACCTGACGGCTTCTCGGATCGTGATGGGGAGATCGTCGAGCTGGAACCCTTGTATTCTGTCTGTATATGTCGACCTGTGCGTACGGAACGATTTGGAACGGCCCCAACTGTACGACAGCGCACAGTACCGCCCGTATGAGCCGAGCGTTTCCTTCAGTCGAAGAACGGGCGGTTCGGTTTCGGTTTCGGACATGGAGCCGACGTCGATCAATCGTGTAGGCAAGGGTAGACTCTGACAGATATCCCCGGGAGTGTGTCGCCCTAGCCCGGGAGAGTCAGAGTTCGAGCTCTGTGTCTGGTTCTGGTTCTGGTTCTGGATCTGGGGTTTGGCTGGTGGAACGAGAGGCTCGCTGCACCGTATGTGCTGGCTCTCGCACGCCGAAAGCCATTCGGTGACCTGCTTGGCGCATTCGACGAGTCCAGCGGCCTCGTCGATCGGTCGTCCGATGACATCGCCCGAAAGAGCAAGAGGGTCATCTAATGGATGCCATGGGAGCATAAGTACAGTACATGCCATACATGCAAGAGGGGAGGGGGGAGGAAGCCAGCAGTCCAAGAATCCCGACCGCATCAAGAAGAAAATATCTCCCAAAGTCAGTCGACCAGTGGCACTGCGACCGATACAGTGACAGAGACAGTAACTTCCACCACGATAATGCTAATACTGTAATAATGAATCGAATCGAATCGAATCGAATCCCGGCATGGCCGGCCATCCACTCAGTCACTCACCTGGTCGAGTAGTGATACTGACAGCGGCCGCTCTGAAGACTCCGCCCCGACCAACGCTGACGACCATATGATACAGGCCTTTCGGGGTGCGCAGGTCCGTGAAAGCGTGAGCACCGGCATGCAGCCAGATGCGGCTTCGCTCGTGGGACGGGAATCCAGGCGGCACCGGTCGGCCGGCGTTGGCGCGTTCGAGGGCGTCGTAGAACAGCGCACACAGCGGACAGCGCGCCGAAGACGTTCGCAGACCATCGTACGTCGGCTGATGCACCAGCCCGGCTTGCTGGGGGCCGATTTGGGGGTCGTTGGCGCCGTAGGGCACGATGGAATTGACGTTGATCCGCCTACAGTGCTCACAAAGCCCGCTGTTCATGTTTGGGCACGATGAAGGCGAGGGCGAGGGCGAGGGCGAGGGTGCCTCAGCCATACCGTGAGAGCCTCAGCCTAAGCCTCTTGATGGCCGTGATACTGTACGTGTACGTGTACGTGTCCGTACGGATCCAGTAGGAGGTTGAGTGGGATGGAGAACAGAGCTCTAGAAAACAACGTGCTTAGGCGCTCGTCAAGACTGCCAGAGGTAATTACAGTGTATACCATATGTATATGTACTGTAGACTTAGGGCAGTACCCTGGGCAGGGTGCTATTGTCTAACTTGGGCACTAACTTGGGCATTCCCAGCCTTGTCCTTTAACCAGAAGGCTGATATAAGCACTATATAGTCTGGGCCTCCCCCATACCCCTTTGATAGAGAACATGGAACATTTCAACCTTTGACAGCTTTACGGAGTACAGCATCATGATCTGGGGTACCAGGCGCATCTGCCTGACACACATGCGGTATGTATCCGTACTTCGTATGTACCGAAGTCATGTCCTCCGTTGTGCTTTATATTCTGTACAGTACATGTCGGTGAAAAAATGAAATGTGAAATGCCATCTGTACTGTATACCTCGACGCCTTTAACCCTGAATGAAGCAAGTAGATCAAGTATATGGAGGTTTCAGATAGTGAGGCTACTCCCTCCCTTCCCTTCTCAGATATTGTGTCTACAGCTTACTTTGTGCATCTGTCATGTTCTCCATCTCGGCGAACTGATAATAGAACTGGAGACTCTGAGGATTGGCGATGGCGCCTGAGTTCTGGATCGAGGCCCCGGAAATGATTTGTTTCACTGGGATTTCCGCCTTCTTCAGGTTGACGGTCGTCTGGAGGGGGTTCCGGGTCAGTATACCAGCAGCCACAATGATGATGATGATGATGATGTGGGCTCTCATGCTCTTGCCAATGCTAGACATGTCACATACCGGAATTGCAGGAGTTTGGAAGATGTATTTGGGAACGTGTCGCGCACTTCTCTTTTGCCGGACCACATCTTTGATTTGCTTCGCCAGTTCAGGCGTGAAAGGCACTCCCGGCTTCATCAGCAGGAAGAGGAAGACACTCTCATCAGCATCTCTCGGACGGCGCTGACCAACACACAAGGAGTCAGCAACTAGATGGCCGAAATGGTCCTCGACGACATTGTAGATCTCAGCCGAACCGAAGCGGATCCCAGATGGGTTGAGAACGCCATCTGACCGGCCCAGGAAGATGATCTGTTTCGTAGTTGGATGTCGGCAGACAAGATCCCCCTGGGTCCAGGCGTCTGATGAAGCAGAATGAATCAGTAAGAGAGAAATCGATAGAAAAGAGGTAGGTACAGTAAACTGGAGCCATCCTTACGTTGGTACCTGGCAAAATAGGCCGCACGATATTTCTGATCACCCTCGGGGCCCCAAAAGGTGACCGGCATGTTGGGAAAGGCTCCTGTAGCAACAAGCTCTCCGGCTTCTCCATCTTTGACGGCGGTTCCAAAGCGGTCGTCATCACCACTCCCTTGCCTGAAGATGGAGATAGGGACGCCCAGGCTAGGCCCCTGACATCCACCGACGTACACTGGACTGAGGGGATTTTCCATGGCAAACGTCCCGGCGATATCAGTACCACCCGAGATATTTGCCAGGTGCACTCGCGGAGGAAACCCTTGATCGTAGAACCATTCGAAGAGCGAATCCGACAGGACCATTCCAGTACTGGTCACCAATTCCAGCCGGCTCAAATCTGCCACTTCTCGTGGACGGATCCCATCTCTCTGAAGCTCGTGCATGTATCGAGGCGAAGTGCCAAAATGTGTCACCCTAAAAGTCAGGCGGACATTAGTCGAAGTCTAGGACGGTGGTCTTGTTGGAGCACACACCCTTGGTCTTGAAGAAGGCGGATGAAGGCCAATTTGTCGGGGAAGAAGACGCTCCCATCGTACAGAACAATTCTCGCCCCGAAGAGTAAGCCGGCTGTTGAAACTAAATACATGATCCAGCCGGTGGTGGTGTATTGCAACTGAACGTGTTGAGGGCCAAACCCCCGGTGGAGGCCCATTTCTTTGCGCAGCGATAGCAGGATTCCGCCCGTACGATGGACGATACACTTTGGTGGGCCCGTGGTACCGGAGGAGTAGACAATCAGGCACGGATCATTAAAGTCCACCCGCGTGAAAGTGAGCTCATGCGTAGTCGCCTGGGACAAGAACTGGGCAAGCGACTGCGTCTTGGGCAGATGGCTGATGCTGGCGGGTGTTTGCGATTGAGACAGGGAGATCAAGCCCAGCCATTCTTCCACGTCGGCCATGCCGTCGATCAGACTTTGCATCCTGGGTCTCAGGTCGGTGGTCTTTCCATTATAGACGGCACAGTCGTCCATAAACACCCACTTGGGCTTGATTTGTCGCAGTCGGTCCAGCACTCCGTTGACACCCATGTCCGTCGCGCTGGACGAGAAAATGGCCCCGAGGGCCGTGGTGGCCAGAAAAACCACCAACGTTTGGAAATTGTTGCCTGACACAGCAGCAATGCGATCGCCCTTGACAACGCCGGCTGCTCGCAGGGCCTGTGACAAGTGTCCGGTGCGTCGTCTCAGTTCTGCCCAGGTGAAGTGGTGAACGTCCACTGCCCCTTCACGAACCTCGGTGGCCGCGATCTTGTCATCCTCCTTTCCATGTGTGGTCAGTCTGGATGGCGACCGATTTGGATACCCAGCAGAGAAGAGGATGTTTTCGGCGAAGTTGACCTTTACCCCCTCGAACCAGGGAGGATTTGTCTCGATTGAGGCTGTCCCATCTACAGGGGTCGTGTAGGTACCTTCGTGGATGACATTCAGATACCGCCAGGCAAAGTCCCAAAACTCAACCCGGTTGTTCACCGACCAGTTGTTCAGCGCGTCAAACGTCTATCTGGTTAGAGGACCAATCCAAAGTCTGCGGTTCATGGTGGTCAAAATCGAATCATTGCACTTACCGGGAGCTTCACCTTCTTTTCATTCTCCAACTGTAGTCGGAAACGACCCATTGCCGTTTGTTCCGGGTCTGGATGTTCCCATAGCTTGCGAGGAAGGACTTTGACTGCCTTGTTGTCTGGCATGGTGATAGTTCAACCTGAAAGAAGACGTAAATGGCCACCGCAATGGCAACCAGTGATTGCAAAAAGAATAAGGATGGCCTCGGGGGGTCGTCTAACTTCAAGCAAAAGCGTGCTGTATGTCTTCAGAGCTATTGATCCAAGGGTGTAGGGTGTGAAGATAGAGTAAGATCTTGTCTCTTGTCCCCCTCCTTGCCCTTCCAGGACCTTTTGGTCTGGAAAGATAACGGACAACTAAAGGGTCGCATTGGTCGCACTGTAAGCTAAATCGCTAGCAATGATTAGTACTGAATTGAGTACTCCGTAAACAAGACCAGATCTTGGGCGTCTGTACCTTGGAATCCAGAGTGCAGAGTGCCGGTTGCACTCCCTTAGCTGCGTCGGTGTCGGCCATGTCAGCTGCGACTCGCGAATTTGTTGTCAGAGTCAGTGACGGGGTCCATGCTCTTCTCTTCGAGGAACAAAGCCCCATCATGTCGGCGGCTCAGCTGAGGCCCGAATACTAGTGTGCATTGTGCATGCCAGTCTCAATACAGAGTAGAGTATGTCCTCTGGACTAGATCTAGGACATGGAGACCGGCCGCCAAGCCTGGGTCGTGGATCTTCAGGATCCTGACCAAGGATTTCTTGATCAGTGAGAGCATCATTACTCTACACACAGCACGGATAGCCGATTGAGTACTGTACACTGTACACTGTACATGGCCTATGGCTCTCTGCAATCTGGAGCTCGAGCTGGGGCGGGTCGAAGACACTCCATGGACCCATGCGCAGTCCAGTGCAGAACTCAGTACTCAGCACTCAGCACTCCGCACCCTGGTCCTCCCCTTCTCTGTCCACAGTTCACAGTCCACATGCATTGGTTTCGTTTCAAGCACAGCTGTGAGCCTAACTAACCTGAGCCCCAGATCCCAGGTGACCAGTCCCCGTGTACTGCCGACATGGTGCAGCTGATGGCTCGGCTATTTCTCTGCGGATTTCCTCATCTTCCTCATCTTGAGAACTACTCTTTTGGTTGAAGCGACACACTTCCACTTCCAGGTTCCTCTGTGACAAAGCGTTCAAAACACCATGGCCGAGTCCGAAGGCAGCCCCTTGGCATTTTCCACCTCCAATCTACCGTTGAAGCTCTATATCAACGGTCAGTACGTTGATAGCAAGGACGGCAAGACCCCGCTAGCCGTGTACAATCCGAAAGATGGGACGTTGGTGTCTGACCAGGTGCCGCTGGCGGGCGAGAAGGACGTCGAAGCCGCCGTCACCGCCGCGGAGGCCGCTTTCCCTGCGTGGAAAAAGACGACGGCGAACCAGAGACGTGACATCCTGCTCAAGTTGGCCTCGTTGATCGAACAGCACAACAAAGAGCTAGCCAGGCTTGCACGGTTGACTCTGGGTGCGCCATGGGCCTCGTTCGGCGCCTTCGAAGGCGTGGTTTGCTCCGAGGTATGTACGAGCCCTCTGCCCAAGCGATTTCTTTCCTTTATGCCTTCATAATCTCATGTTCTTGCTTGCTAATACTGGATGGATGGGTATGATAGACGTTCAAATACAACGCCGGATGGACCGACAAGTTCGCCGGCGAGTCTTTCCCGCAAGAGAACGGCTACCTCCAAATCACGCGCAACGAACCACTTGGCGTCACTTGCGGCATTGTGCCTTGGAACGGTCCATTGGCGGGGATCGCTTTGAAGGCCGCTCCAGCACTGGCCACGGGGAATTGCTTCATCTTGAAGCCATCGGAGAAAACCCCTTTCGCGCCTCTCGCGCTCGGGGCTCTGATCGAAGAGGCCGGTTTCCCACCGGGGGTATTCCAAATTCTCTCTGGCGATGGGAGCACCGGTGCGTTGCTCGCCAGCCATATGCGCATTCGGAAAGTCAGCTTCACCGGGTCTATCGCGACGGGGCGGAAAATCCAAGAGATGGCTGCGAAATCTAACCTGAAACGCGTCACGTTGGAACTCGGGGGGAAATCTCCCGCCGTGGTCTTCGACGACTGTAATCTCGACAACGCCGTTACTTGGTGCGTGAACGCCATCACGGCCAACAGCGGGCAGGTCTGCTATGCGGCGAGCCGCATCTACGTGCAGAAAGGCATCTTCGACAAGTTCGCGGCGAAATACGCAGAGGCCATGCAAGCCCGGGCGAACGCCGTCGGCGACCCAGACGAGCCGTCCACCTTGTTGGGCCCGGTGGTCGACAAGGCTCAGTTCGAGAGGGTCTGCGGCTTCATTGAACGCGGCATCGACGGGCAGCAGGGGAAGCTCCTGGTCGGAGGGAAACGCGTGACCACAGGTAACACCGGCTCAGGTTACTTCATCGAGCCGACGGTGTTTCAGGACGTCGACCCGAATGCGGAAATCTACCAGAACGAGATCTTCGGCCCTGTGTCGATCCTCAACTCGTTCACCTTGGAAGAAGAGGTGGTTCAAAAGGCCAACGCCACCGAGTACGGCCTCATGGCCGGCGTCTTCACCCAGGACGTCAACAAGGCCCTGCGCGTGGCGAGCGAGTTTGACTCGGGCATGGTCGGGGTCAACTGCATCAGTCTGGTGCATGTGAACACCCCGTTCGGCGGCTCCAAGGCGAGCGGTGTGGGACGCGAGTGCGGTCGCGCTGCACTCCAGGCCTTCACCGAGCCCAAGACCATCATGATCAACATGCAATATACATAACGAATTGACCTGGTCTTGGGTTTGTGATACGCTGGCTGGTTATAGTTTAGTACTTAGTACATAGTATGCAAGACCCGTAGCAGGCCACGCTGGGCCTTGGCCCTAAGCCTTAGAAATCTGACGGAGCTGTATGTTGTATTTCAGGTAGGTACAGTAAGCCACCTTATATATAGTAACTTATATACAGCAAGTCTAAGTCTACTATACACAAGTTACCGTATGCACATATCTCACTCATATACATGACGGGGGTAGGACCTTGATCGGAAGGGAAAGTCGGAAATATACTATGTTGTACACATGTAGCCTCTACGGTAGGTAGGTGCGTAGTATAGAAGAAGCAGAAGCAGAGGAAGAAGAAGACCTGTCTGTCTGTTTGTAATCTGAATCTGATTGACTGACTAACTAATTAACCAACTACTGTACCCATGCATGCATACTTTCTTTCGCCAGCAAACATGACTACAGGGCTCTCTATTCTACCATTGTTCTGAAGGGAAGGCAAGTCGGGGGACCCGCAAGTGAGTGGGAATCTAGTCGAAGACGACGGCCATCCTTTTGGTGGATTGACCAGCCTTCATCTCGTCGACCATGTTAGCGACGTCCGACAGGCCAGCAGGGCGGATCTCGACCTCAGGCACAATGTTGTGGTCGGCAAAGAAGTTGATTGCCTTGGCCATGCGTTGCGGGGTGCCGATGCTCTCGGCCTTGAGGCGGTAAGAACCCACGACGATGTCGTACACCGACACCTGGATGGGCTGGGCGGCGATACCCACCGCCATGAGCACGCCGTTGACGCGCAGCAGGTCTGGGGCGCTGGCGAAGGCAGGGGCGGCATTGCTGAACACCCCGACCGCGTGCACCCCGTGCTTGCCCGGCGTCAAGGCTTTGACCGATGATATGTACGTGTCGGCCTCGGTCCGCGAGTTGAACGTGTAGTCGGCGCCTTGGTTCTTGACCATGGCTAGTGCTCCGTCGTTCACGTCGATCGCCACCACCTTCAACCCCATTGCTTTGGCGACCTGCGTCGCGAGCTGGCCGAGCCCACCCGCTCCCACTATCGCGAGCCATTGTCCGGGCTTCAGCTCACAGGAGTCGACCGAGTGGAAGGCTGTATGGGTTGTGTTAGTTGGCGTTGGTTCGACAAGTAGAAGGACAAACTTGGTCAAGGTAGGTAGGTAGGTAGGTAGGTAGGTAGGTAGGTAGGTAGGTAGGTAGGTAGGTAGTAGTAAAATGTGAAACGTGAAATGTGCAATGTGCTAAAGGGCAACGGGGGAAGTTTCCGAAAGGTGATGGCGATGATGAAGCTCGGTGTGCTCAGGGAAACACAAACACAACTAACCTGTAAGGCCGGCGCAGAAAAAAGCCGAGCTCGTCCTGGGATCCATGCTGGCGGGAAGGATGATGGCATTTTGCCACACGACAATGGCGTACTCGGCAAAGAATCCGGGGGCCTGGAAGCCGGAGATCTGTGGCGGCCCGTTCAAGCATTTGTTGTTGTGCACCAGGCAGCCTTCACACTCGAAGCAGACGCCGGTCACGTAGAGAAATCCAATGGTGTCCCCGACGTGAAAGCCTTTGCCTTCGGCTGACGGGTTGATGGCCACGATCTTGCCAACACCCTCATGCCCAAGAGTGATGGGCTCCTTGCGGTCCGGGTCAGCAATTGCCAGCAGGTCGGAGTGACAGAGTGACGCTGATATGATCTTGACCAGGAACTCTCCAGAGCCAGGACTGGGAATGGGGACGTCGTTGACCACCACCTGTTTCTGCACCGGGTCCCATTGGGCTGCCTTCATCGTCTGGCCTGACATTTTCGCTTTGGAACTGGGATCAATGTGTAAAGGGTGTAATTATAGGGGGTCGGGGGTTGGGGGATGGGCGATGGGCGATGGGGGAAAATTAGATGTGAGATCAGAGTTCGGTTTTTAAGGAGCAACCACATCTGCTGCCTCTCGCACAGTCATCTTCTCGCCTTTACCTATCCTCCTGATTTATGCAGATTTGTTCATGTGGAGTTGGCCTCCAGGGGTGTCATGCCCCCCAGGAGTAAGAGGCACCGCAGAGAACGCTGGTGTCTTGGATTCAGCCAGTGGAGGCCAGTCAAACAGACAGGCGATAATGAATCTGGCAGTCGGCACAGTCGGATCCAATATCAATCATGTGGTTGGGTATGTAGTCTGTGTCTCGAATTCAACTCTCCTCCCCCACAGTGGCCACCGAGGTCGCCAAGCGGAAAGGTGACATGAACGCCATTCACAATACAATAAATCAAAGGTTGTTGGTCCATTGCTAACCTCTGTTCCGAGGACCCAGGACCCCGGACACAGCGTCGCTAGAAAATACGGACGAAGCGGGCATGGTACTGTGCCACGGGGGCCGTCGACTGTGAACGAAGGCAGAGTCAAGCTCCACAAGCACCCCATGGGGCTTGGGGCTGGAGCCGGGGCGCTGCACAAGAACAGGATCCACGTCGTGGTCTCCCGCTGATGGCTGATGAATGATGAATGGACGCAGGATTAGAGTGAGGAATCCAGGGCGAGTCATGGCGTGAAGACTGGGGCCGGCCTCGGCAGGCCGCGCATGACTAGCCAGACCGCACGGGTCCCTGACGAATGTATCGCGATTCATGGCAGGTCCCTGAGCTTCTCTGTACATACTTGGCACATACTCTCTGTCCTTCCGGTGGGCCATATTCCCGCTACCCACTCACTCCTCCAGCGGCCGAGGCCAGACCGTGAGGGATGAGGCCCTGAGGCCCTGACTGCACACAGCCATGGAGGTATGTATAAGAAATAATAGCACTGCCAGAAGAGATGTCCTCCCACGCATCGTATCGTTTTCGTGCCCCGGTCACTCTCTCGTCTCTTTTGTCGCCTCTGTCGCCTCTGCCGGATAAGTGGTGCGACCTCTCGCGTCCATGGAGACCGCGACCGATCATGTGTCCGATACCAAGTCCGAAGCCTCGCACCTGGAGCGGTCTTCGCAACATGTCGATATAGAGCCAATGCACCATGACGAGCATGAGCATGAGCATGCCTCCGCTGGCCACGACAAGGGAGCCCCCTCCGGCATGGTGGGCTTCGACTCGCACACTCAGGCCACCGCGGGCGGATATTTCACCAGCGGCCGATTCATCGGGTCGATGCTCGCCATTGGATTCTCCATCGCCAGTGGAGCGGGAACGTTCAGCCTGCCCGCCGCCATCCTGTCCTCGATCGACGCCGACATAGGGCCTGACAAGAACATCGTCTGGGTCTCGTACATGGGCGTCCTCGGCTTGGCCGTCGGGCTGCCCCTGGTGGCCAGACTGTCCGACATCTTCGGCCGCCGGTGGTACTACCTGGGAGGGAATTTCTTCATGCTGGTGGGCGCCATCGTGTGTGCCACGGCCAAGAGCGTGCCGACGTTGGTCGGAGGCACGGTGATCCTGAGCGTCGCGTCGGGCGCGGCCTTTTCCTTCTCCTTCCTTATCAACGAGATCGTGCCCATGAAATATCGCTTCATCGGCACGGCGTCGGGCTACCTCTTTGCTTTGCCCACCTCTGGGTTTGGCGCGGCGGTCGCCATCTCTTTGGCGGCAAAGTCACCTGGAGGCTGGCGATGGGTGTACTACCTCATGATGATCCTGGACGGCATCGCGCTGTTCTTCTTCTACTTCTTCTACCATCCCCCGACCTTCAAGATGAAGCAGGGCGAGCGCAGCAAACTCCAGATGCTCAAGGACTTGGACTTTGTCGGCATGTTCCTCTTCTCCGTCGGCATTGTCATTTTCCTCCTCGGTCTGTCATGGGGCGGTGTGACGGAGCCCTGGAAGTCCGCCGGAGTCATTGCCCCCATTGTGCTCGGCGTGGCCACGCTGGCCGCCTTTGTCGCCTGGGAGATTTACTGGCCTCTGAAGCAGCCCATGGTGCCCAAGCACCTGTTCAACGATCGAGACTGGGTGGTGGCAGCTCTGCTACTGGCCTTCGCAGCCAGCATCTACTATGCGCTGGCCATTGTCTGGCCCCAAGCGGTGGTCGCATTGTACGCCGAAGGGCACGGCACACATGCTCTGCTTTCAGCTGCCTCCACCATCCCTTACCTAGGCGGCCAGATCACCGGCGGCTTGCTCTGCAAGCAAATCGGACGGCTGAAATGGCAGTGTTTCACCATTGCGTTGGTGGGGGGAACCTTGCTCGCCTGTAAGTTACATATGTCCACATGCATCCGCGTTCCCCATCTTTGTCACTGATCCGTTCGCAAGGCCTCGCAACCACCGGTCCGCATGATATGCCCACGGCGTTAGGCTTGCTCATCTCCGGCGTCTTCTGTATGGGGTGGATGGAAAGCATCACGCAAACATTGGTGGGCATCTGCGTCCGAAATCAAAAGGAAATCGGCACCGCTGTGGGCATGGCCGGTTCAGTCCGCTCGGTGATCTCGACCATAGCCTCGACCATCTATATCATTGTGCTCGACAACCGCCTGAAAAAGACCCTGCCGGGAGCCGTTGTCCCTGCGGTTGAGAGAGCGGGCCTCCCTGCTTCCTCGATCCCGGCCCTCATGGCCGCTCTCGCCACCAACTCAGAAAGCGCCTATGATGCAGTCAAGGGCCTGACCCCCCAGATTTTGAGTGTAGCACAGAACGCCTACAAGGAAGGGTCCTCGAGGGCGTATTCGACAGTGTTTTTAGTCACCCTCGCCGTCAGTGGACTTTCGGTGGTGCTGTCCTTGATTGCCCCTAACGTGGACCATCTCATGACCAACCATGTAGCAGTGATGCTGCAGCACCAGAAGAAGGACGAGGGACCGAAGAAGGAGGGAGAGCTGAGCGAGCTGCAGGCGTGAAAGATGCCCAAGAGCTTTGTTAGCAGGAGGCATCGAGGCTTGGGTATCTGTATTGCTTGATATTGCGGTCCATCAGACCGAGTAGAAGCCGAGTTCCAATACGATAACTTCTCATGTAATGTAGATGGCCTTGAATAAGCTTCAAAAAATAAAAACAAAAGAGAGTAAGTTGGCCACCTTCAAGATGACTGATATAGGCGGTTCATGCCCTTGTGAGGCGGTCGTCTTGGTCGAAACGCGTTTCTTCAGGCTGGCTAAGGCTTTGACGACGCCTCCTCCAAGTGCCAGAGTCGATATTCGCCAGCCAAGGCTCTATTGCTCTTATTCTTATTTGACAACCTTTCAGCGGCCGCCAGAATTGGAATGTCCTCGTAAACTGTAGAAGCTGGTTCTCGGACCCGGGCCCGGAACCGGCGACGCTCGGCTGCCGCCGCTGGAATTATCGATGGTATAAAACGAGGGCTGCGTCGCTGCGCTGCGTGAATCCATCTTAAACCTCATCGTCCCGTTCAGCACATCTCTAACACTGGCTTATTGATCCACCCCCACACGGCAGTCCCGACTCCAACTCCCGACTAGGGAGCTGATACGAGATCTATCTAGTATACGAAGTAACAATAAGACCAGGAACACGAACAGGAACAGGAACAGGAACAGGAACAGGAACAGGAACAGGAACAGGAACAGGAACAGGAACAGGAACAGGAACAGGAACAGG